CAGCCAGAAGCCATCAGATTAGTTGAGGTTTACCGGAAACCCTTGCGACAACTACTGGTGCCACGAGAACACAGGAGACGCACGCACACAGGACAGGACTCGTCAGGATAGTTGGGCTCCAGCCGGGAGTTTTACGACAGCTACTGACCTCGGACGAAGAAGACACGCACACGAGAACACTGAAGCTGCCAGACTAGTTGGGGTTCACCAGGAACTTTACGACAACTACTGGTACGAAGACAGAAGCACGACACGTCACTCAACACGCCACCGTAGGGCACGTTGACACGGGGTCCACAGCAGACACGTCACTTGACACGCCACTCAGGGTGTGTTTAATACGGGGTCTAGAGCCAGAACAGACACGTCACTTGACGCACCACTCAGGGTGTGTTTAATACGGGGTCTACAGCCAGGAAGACACGTCACTTGACATACCACAGGGTGTGTTTAATACGGGGTCTAGAAGACAGGCACTCGCAGCCTTACGCAGCCAGCACGCAACACTCCCAACCAGTATAGGGGAGACTCTGCCCAGATACTCAGGGCAACCACCATCCGAGACTTCCGCATAGGTCTCAGTACACCACAATCACCCGCACACCACCACACAAGCAGTTATTCAAGGATCATAGCCCGCCCGGCTTAGTCACGAACTCGGCGAAGCCACTGTTGGAAAAGCAGGAAACCCCACACGCTTTGCGGCAGCATCAGGGAATCAACATCGCCCAACCCCTCACCCCTTTTCACCTATCAATCATCCGATTCCCGGATAGCATACGACAGCGTATGGCGGGCACTTTGCTCGTGAATGCAAGGCGGCACACGATGTTTGTGCGAACTGCGCGGATAGTCACCCAACCTCACAGTGTGGCGTCGCGGGGGACCCGCAAAGGTACCGCTGCGCTAACTGCAAGGAGAATGGCCACGCTGCGTGGAATCGGGCCTGCCCGGCACTGCGGGCGCGAGTAAGTGCGCACACATACACCGGAAAGCTGATAGTGGCTTCCGCTTTTTCGTCACCAACGCTCCCGACACGTGGATCTCGGATGAGGAAGAGCTTGCTCGAGCCCCGCCGCCGCCCACAGTATGGTCGCAAGTGCGACACCACTTCGACCACGCAGACACCGAACAACATGGCACGCAGCAGTCCACGCTGGACGGCTTCCTCAGCGCACCCGGGCAGTCGGCCGCCACCGCCCTTCATCAATGAACTCTGCACCCGACAAACCACTACGCATCCTGCAGCAGAATCTCAACAAATCTGGGCGCGCCCAGTTAGATCTTCTCAACGACCCGTTCATCGCTGACTATGATATTCTAGCACTTCAAGAGCCCCATCTGACCTTTCTCGGCCTCACAACCAGCACGCCCAACTGGCACGTCATCTACCCAACGCCACACAGGGTGGATGGGGCGGGCCGCTCGCGCTCAATCATCCTCGTCAGCACCCGCCTCTCCACCGGCTCATGGTCCGCCATCCCCATCCAACACTCTGATCTGACCGCCGTCTCCATCCACTCCAACGCTGCCACCATTCACTTGTTCAACCTCTACGTTGACGGCGAGCACGACACAGCCCTCCACGCCACCTCCTGAGCAGTCCTTAACACGTTGGCGAACGGGGCGGACGACCCGCAGCATCTGGTATGGCTGGGGGACTTCAACCGCCACCACCCTGCCTGGGATGGCCCCACCAACCTCCACTTGTTCAACTCGGAGAACCTTCGCCGAGCAGAACGGCTCATCAACACGCTCGATCACCACGATCTTCAGCAGGCGCTCCCGCAAGGCATGCCGACGCTCGAGGCTTCCCGCACCAAGAACTATACTCGTCCAGATAACGTCTTTTGCACCCCTGGCATCCTCGAGGGCCTGCGCACTTGCACAGTTTTGTATGACAAGCGTCCAACCAAGGCTGATCATTTCCCTATCCAGACAATATTCGATTTCCCAACGACTGCAGCAGTCCGACGCCCGCGCAAAGACTTTCGCCAGGTGAACTGGGCGGAGTTCGGGCTGGCTCTGGCAGAGCGGATCAAGGCGAGACACTTCCCGACAAACATCAATACGACCGCCCGCTTCGACCGAGTCCTGTCCGAGCTCATGGACGACCTCCAAGCGATGATTGCGGAGCACGTGCCGGAGAACGCTCACACACCTTACGCCAAGAGATGGTGGTCAGCGGAACTCACGGTGATGCGAGCAGAAAAGGAACGCTTGGGGCAGATCTCCTTCCGTCACCGGGGGGAGGCGGCTCACCCTGCACACGCTGAGTACCGGCGATTCCGTAATGTTTATGCTGACAACATCACGGCAGCCAAAAACGACTTCTGGAAGGCGTGGATCGACTCCATTGATGGCAAGACCATATGGGATGCAAACCGTTTCCTCAAGCGAGGGGCGACGGATGGCGGAAGGGCCCGCATACCCCCAATCCGGGTACCAGCGGCGGGCGGGCGAGAACGCGTTCTGAGCTCGAACGAGGACAAGAGCGCTGAGTTCCACCGCACCTTTTTCTTACCGCCTAGCGCTGCTGTTGTCCCGACAGGTCCCTACCCACAGCCAAAGTACCCCTTCAAGCCCATCACGGACACGCAGGTGCACCGAGCAATCAAGGCACTCCGAGCTTTCAAGGCGCCGGGCCCGGATGCGGTCCCGAACGAGGTATACAAACACTGCGCCGACACACTTACCCCTGTGCTAGGCTCGCTCTTCCGGGCAACTTTCACGCTGCACTACTATCCCGAGCGGTGGAAGGTGTCGGACACGGTGGTGCTGCAAAAGCCGGGAAAGGACGACTACACGGTGGCAAAAGCGTGGCGGCCAATCGCCCTACTTGACTGCATGTCGAAAATTTTGTCCCGGTGTGTCGCAGACGTGCTAGTTTACGAGGCTGAACAGAAGTCGCAGCTAGCTCACCTCCAATTTGGGGGGCGAGCGGGCCGCACCACCACGGACTCCATCCATCTTGTCACCAAGACCATCAAGGACACCTGGCGGTGGCGTCACGTCGCTTCGGTGGTTTTCCTGGACATCAAGTCTGCATTCCCGGCCGCCTCGCCAGAACGCCTTTATCACAACTTGCGGATGCGGGGCGTCCCGGTGGAGTACATTGACTGGCTGCGAGTCAAGCTAACGGGCCGGAAGACACGACTACACTTCGACGACTATGCCTCGGACCAATTCGACATCGTCAGCGGCATCGACCAAGGCTGCCCACTCTCCGTCATACTCTACGCTTTCTACAATTCTGATTTAATTGACTCCGCAGACACGAAGAACGGGGAGCTGGCAGTAGGCTCCATGGACGACGTGGCACTTGTTGTCACGGGCAAGACTTTCACAGAATGCCACGATCGCGTGCGGCGCTTCATGGAGCGGGACGGTGGGGTGCAGGACTGGTTGCGGGCCCACAACTCCGCTTTTTCGCTCGACAAGTTTGGGCTTATCAACTGCAAAGCCCAGCCAAAACGCATCGGGCTCGGCCCGGAGCTGGTTCTCTCGGACGGCACCAGAATCGCACCCACCGACCACCACCGCTTCCTTGGAGTCCTACTGGATCAGGGGTTGAAGTACAAGCAGCACGTTGCACACGCCTACGCAAAGGGCAGCAAGCTCGTCTCGCAAATATGGTGTCTGGCTAAGGCACGCAACGGGCTGACGCTCCCCGTCGTGCGGCGTCTTTATTTTGCAGTCGTGGTCCCGAGTGTACTGTACGCTGCTGACACATTCCTCACTCCTATCAGGAAGCTCTCGGGCCACTCCCGCAAGCACGGATCGGTGGGGAATGTCAACCGGCTGGCGGGGATCCAGCGTCAGGCGCTCCTCGCCATGACGGGTGCCCTGCGTTCAGCTCCGACAGACGCGCTGGAGGCACACGCCCAGGTCCTCCCCTTTGACATGCTCATCGACAAACTGTGCCACCGGGCCGCAGTCCGTCTATGCGCCCTCCCGAAGTCTCACCCACTTGCCGACCACGTTCGCTGGGCAGGCAAGCGCCTCGTCAAGCTGCACCGCTCGTCCCTTCACGAGCTCGTGGACGCCTACCGCCGCTGGCTCGACCACCGCAATACGGAACGCATCCGACCCGTCCGCCTACACCCACGCTGGACACCCCGCCACCGCACACACGTTCTGAAGGATCGGGAGGCAGCGGTGGAGGACAATGCGCGCTGGGCGCGGGATGGAGCGTACTGCGTCTACACTGACGGCTCCCATGTCGACGGCGGGGTGGGGGCGGCGGCACTGCTGTACGTGCCAGGTCGGGAGGCGCCGCAGGTGCTACAACTGCACCTTGGCCCGTCCACACGGCACACCGTGTACGAGGCCAAAATAGTGGCGACGATCCTAGGGATGGAGCTGCTGAGGCGGGCCCTCCAGTGCACAAGACACGCCTCCATAGGGCTGGACAATACGGCGGCCATCCAGGCTACTACGCTACGTACACCAGGGCCTGGCCGCTACCTCACTGACATTTTCCATGCAGCGGTGCGCGATCTCAAAGCGGAGCGCCCTCGCCTCCAGCTCACCCTTCGTTGGGTGCCGGGGCATGCTGATGTCCCTGGGAACGAAGCAGCAGATACGGCGGCCAAGGAGGCAGCTCACAAGGTCTCCTCGCCCACCCGCCAGCTCCCAAAGTCGCTTCGCAAACCGCTCCCGCTCAGCTTGTCACGCGCACGGCAAAACTTCAAGCATGAGCTCGATCGACGCGCGGGGGTCAGGTGGCGTACCTCCGTGCGTGGGGTGCGAATGGCCGAGGTCGACGGGGCCATGCCGTCCAAGAAATATGGTGCCCTTATCAGCACGCTTCCTCATCGTCACGCGAACCTCCTAGTTCAGTTCCGCACTAACCATGTCCCCCTGCAGGCCTACCTCGCTCGCATCGGAAAGGCGCCAAGTGCGACGTGCCCAACCTGCGGAGACGCCCCCAAAACAGTCCAACATTATCTCCTCGCCTGCCCGACCTATTCCTTGCACCGTGCGGTCCACTTCGCCCCCCTCGGCTTCTCCGGGCGCACCCTCGCCGCTCTGCTCAACTCCAAGGCTGCCCTCCGCCCTCTCTTCAACTTCGTCAACGCCACTGGCCGCCTTCGTATGGCAGTCGGTGCACTGGTGGGCCCAAGATCCGGATACCCCGAAAGTGACGAGGGCGACGGCGGCGACTAGCAACGCACGGCAGCGGCTCGCCTCAGCCCCCACCATCCCACCCCTCCGACTCTTGTCCTCTGCCTTCTCATCCTCGTGTTCGCTCACTTCGCTTTTCACACGTACGTACACGGGCACGCTGGGAGCATAATCTCCGCGCTGGGGCCGGGGGAGTTCTGACGGGCCTGCGGTGTCTGCCCGGTTCCCGTACCCCTCCCGTGGCAAGAGGCTTCGTGCCCGGCAGCGCAAGTGCCGCTGCAAAGCACAGGCAGGTTTAGATCCCGGTACCCTGCCGCATATTGGCCGGCGCGGTGCGACCAGCGTGTGGCCCCTTTCCATACTTACTCCATTTCGCTAGATGAACTTCCATATATTGCCTCGGTCTCATCCCTACAAACCATACTACTGTGCCTGCGGCGGCTGCTGCCGTCGCATCTCCCCACCCCCCTACCTATGTCCGCAGACCCCTAGTTCCGCTCCCGTAGCTACCAGCGCTGTATTGCCTACCATAGGGCGCGGCCCTCGAGGGCAATAAACGAGGATCCAAAGAAAAAGAAAGAGCTCTTTGGCGGTAGACGAGACCCACGATAGGCAACGTGATAGGGCGTCTTCCGTCCAGTTGACTCATGGGCTTCCGTGTCGCATATTAAGAACCGCTGTCAGCCTCATGAATCGAGGGCACGCGGGTGCACCCTTCTGAAAAAACGACAGCGGCTGCACTTACGGAGGAGCTTGGTGCCGGCTGTGCCGAGGCGTTCATCGTGTAGACGTCGGCTGTGTGTGCGCAAAATAAGCAGAAACGCACGAACGGCCGATCAGATAGTTGCTCACCTCCCGTAAAATAAAATTAAGTCCGGTAGAAACGGTAGATTGCGATGTGCGGGCTGTACCGGAACGCCAGGACTGTCAACAGGAATTTCACATGCAGCCGCACACAGCTGAGCATGCCGTGTCAGATGCAGGTGGACCCTGACCGACCTAAGGACGAACGTTTCGCCGGATTGCGTGGGTGAGTTCACATAGCGCAGCGTCTTGGAAGTATCTATAGATCGTCACTGCATTCGTGGTGTTTCATGCCACAGGTGCCAGTAAGCCAGCGTACAGTACGAGCTTCAGACAACTGGTAGCCAGCTAAACCATTTGCCGGAGTTGCACAATTTACGCTGACTATGTAAACGTATTTTTCAGGGGTTAATGGGCCGCTGGGTTGCGAAATCAATGTTTGGGCTTCGAGTGATTCAAGGAGCCTGAAAAGTTGAACGGGTACTTACCAGCGTCTCCAGCCTGAGTCGTCTCCAGCCTAGGTGTTGTCGTCGTTCCAGATAGCCGTTATGCTGCATGGTAGCTCGTGGTATAATGATACAGGCTCAGAACCTGAAAGAATGTTGTCTCCCCTAGGCAGACGATAAATGTGAGATCAGAAAGAATGCATGGTCAAGGTTGAAGCGCAAGCAAGGTGTGTCGGAGGAGGTCGGACCTTGGTCGGACCCACAACTCGAACGCGTGTGATCACGTGCAGTTGTTATAAGGAACGAAGTATGTAAGAGGCGTCTATCATGTTGCCAAGTAAGTATGCCACCTTCAATTGTGTCCTTAGGATGACTCGTTCATATAGATACACGATGCAGCAATCCCTTGGTGTCTGGATCATATCAGTCAAGGCTGGTATTTAATTGGCAACGATAGCAGAAGACGCGGACCCACATTTGTCGCCACGGTGCCGATACCAACCACCCCGGGGGGGAGGAATCTGCGCATCCCAGACCTGTTCAGGCTCAGCCAATTCGGACATCTCCGCTAGCACAGCGAACAGGGCGTCTTGATGACCACCTTTGACGGTTTATCGCAAGCCCCCGGCCCCCGTGTCGCTCAGCCAGTGCGCCGTGTCGTCGGAGACTAGCTGGGCTGTACATCCATAATTCTAGAATATGACCATGAGATCGGTTATGGCCTAGTGTACTAATAATAATACGTGGTAGACGCACCTGTTGTAATCATTGGCGTCGTTGAGAGGTACGCCAAGCCATGGGGGCTTTACGGCGCTGTCCCGACGCCGCAGGCGAGCGCTTTTTGCGGGGGCTTCTTCTTCCTACGACCGATCGGACAGCGATGATCCTTTCGAACGAATCCAGCCGTTAATATGTCCTGTGTAACTGAGGCCAATGCCCCGCTACCGGGCGCTGTTCACAGGAATTACCAGCCGCTCATAGCGGCTTTATGCCGACCGCTCTAGCAGTTGTGAACCTAAAATACGACACCTGACCATGCTTCGCACGTCGGATGGGACACGATGCGGCCTGTCCGCCAACTTCTGTACGTACGTCGCAAAACAGTGAGAACATGAACGCCCTCTAAACTTGGATATCGCTTAGCGAGCTTTGCGCGTGAAAGGCCCGCATGGGGATGCTTAATCTGTGCGCTCTTCGAAACCAGCGGCGGGGCTTGAGGATGCCACGGTGCGTACCGCCTTCTTCCTCGTCCCGGTCGAAGTAATGGGGCGATGCGGACACCGTACGTCGGGGGATAGAGATACGATCGTCCCGTGCTGTAAATTTTCTAGAATTGAATCCTCGAAGTCGTGAGCTCAAACAGTACGGCAATGGACGCTGCCAATGCCAGGTTACAGGCCTGCTTTGAACGCTCAGCGCGCTTCCAAGGGCGGGGGCCTTCTGCGCGAACACGATAGACGCGAAGAGTTGCCTTGGTGACGCGCTCCCGCGTCAATACGTAGCTAGAAGCACTATCAGCGCCGGGGACTGGGTACGCCCGCGTGGCTCACCGTTAACTGCGACACGCACGGAGCTGGATACCGCGTCTGTAGGACACCAAATTGACGCGAGCACCGGGACAAGTAGGGAAGCAAAGACACAATTGATTACATGTTAGTCGCTTAGACAAGTCGCGGATGTTATAATCTGGATACTCACCATTGACGTGATCGGCGTTTTTTGCGGAAGGGAGAATGGCCACCTCGAATATCGGCTTCCCCGCCGTGTTGAATAAGGGCTTCCTGAAGTCCAGACTGATACGTGGAAGGAGTGCATCATCGACATGGTCCCGCCATAGGCTCTCACGGCGACCTCTCTCGGAGTTCCGGACACCGAGCTCATGTTTGTCGGGTGTCGTTTAAAGAACACTAAGTACTAGGGCCCATGGACAAAACGATCATCTCGCGGGAAGTATAGTATGAGCAGATAGATCACACCATAGATATTCCCCGTTGAACATGCAATGGAAAACATCCGAAGTCGCGTTCGTAGCGAGAGTTTTTGGCAGCAGAAACCTACATAAATTTGAAGGACAAGTTGAGTAGCTTCTAGAGACGCATTTACCGGTCAACAGGCTTGCTTGTTTTGACGTGACACACGTCTGGCGCATAAAATCACAAAGTAAGCGCAACGGCGGCGCGGGCAAAGCGAACGGACCACGACGAGTTCGAGAAGACTCAACTGGCCAGCCGGCCATAGGTGGTAACGGCCGCGACGAGGCTCGCGCTCGGTACCGCGGACGCGTTAGTCACGTGCCCTCATTAGAGGCGGAGTGCTGCGGGCGCCTAATGAAGACGATCTATCATGCAAAGTAAGTACCCCTTCGTGACTTCTTGTCCTGCATGCGCACGTTGTGGGGTACGATGACGCCAACCGATCATGCAGGGGTGATGTAGGCAGCTTGGGAAGGCGCCGGGTAGCATGATAAGGGCATGTGTACGTCCATATGAGCTTCGCGGGGTGACGGAGGGGGCGTCATGCGCGACGCGAAATGAACGTTCGTGGCTGAGCGTCGCAGCCAAAAGGATATGCGTGTAACCATTTCTGTGGAGCCAGCTGCGTGTACGAGAGCCGTCGTTCATGAGCAGGTCATGGGAGAAGGAAGGAGAGAGGTACGAGGCATATTCAATTGAATGCACTGATGGAGTATGGGCGAATCGATCGGGCGTGCAGCTGTGCTCGGACGGAGAGCTGAGCCGCCTTCGCTCGTCCCGGGCTCCGCGACTGCCTCCCTTCTCCTTACATACACTTATCCCGCCCTCCCCTCGGTCCTCGTCCCTCTTCTCTCTCTACCACCACCCCGTCCCACGCAACGACGACAGGTGTCTCCCAGACGATCACGCAGATGCCTCCCGTGGTGTCAGCTACCGACTCCGGCGTGGACCGCAATGCCCTCCGCGTTCTCGTAACTGGCTTCGGAGTGAGTACCGCTCTCGTCTCTTACACTTGCAAGAACGTGTACCTACGAGCCATCGCGCCTCCAGCCATTTGGGAAGTACAAGGAGAACCCTTCATGGCTCGCCGTCAAGCCCCTCCACAACACCGTCCTCTACACCGACCCGCCTTCCGACCTCATGACGCCCAACGACAATTCAGCGATGATGATCACCGACGAGATGGAGGCGTTCTTCAGCCGCCCACAGCAAATCCACATCACCACACTCGAGGTGCCCGTCTCGTACCAAGCCGTGCTCAGCACCGTCCCCGGCCTGCACGCCCGCCCGCCCGTACTCCCCCGTTCGAGCGACCCCGCGTTCGCTGTCCCGCAACCCCCACCCAACGGGTTCGACTTCATCTTCCACGTCGGCGTCGCGGGGCGCGGCCCGCTCCGCATCGAGCGTCTCGGCCACAAGAACGGATACAGGATGAAGGACGCCGACGGCGAGTACGCCCCGATCGTGCACCTCCCGAAGGACCCTATTCGCGACAGCGCGGACGCGGAGCTCGAGCGCATGGAGCGCATGCTTGTGGGTGCGTCGCTCCCGGGCCCGAGCGGTCCTGAGGGTCCGGGGCCGGTAGAGGTCATGGAGATACCGCCGGTGCCCAACCGCGGGTTCGGGAAGGGCTACGAGAACTTCCCGGACGAGCTGTCGGCGGAGATCGACGTGCCCAAGCTGATCGTGCACCTGAAGGAGAACGGGATTGACGTGCGTGTGCCTGCCGATGTGTTGTTCGGACGGCCTGTTGACAGTCCTGCAGCAGGTGTATTCGTCGATGGACGCGGGGCACTTCCTGTGCGACTACATCTTCTACTGCTCCTTGGCCGAGGCACGGCGGAACATCACCCCGCAGGAGAAGTTCAAGGAGAGGAGCACGCCGCCGAAGAGCACCCCTGTGCTCTTTATGCACTGTCCCCCCGTTGAGCAGCCGATCAGCACGGAGCAGGTCACCGATGCGATACAAAGGATCATACTCTGGGTATGCGGCCGGCTGCACCAGCAGTGAAGCTCGACGCTTCTACCATTCTGGTACCCTCATTTCCCCCTTTCCCGCTGGTGTTTACGTTCAGAGTTCGTGATATGTCGCCGGTATCGATATTGAAGTCGCAGTTGCTTGATGATAGTACTGTTATGTATGCTCCGTTGTTCCCGCTGTCGCATTGTGTTATACCACGCAAATCCCATTGGCCCGTGCTCGTATCCGAATATACATGACATACGAAGCAACACATCACCGCGCCCCGCGTGCCGCGCCATGCCCCGACCAGTCAGACGCGCCCGGTCTCCGTCCCCTCCCAGGCGCGCTCCCACCGCCCCCTCCTCGCGCTCCCTCTCCGCATACGCTTCCCCCGCCATTGGCCCGTGCCCCCGCGCGCGGCGGCGCGCCCAACATCCCGTGCAGCAGGTATCTGGAATTCACCCTCGCGCTGAATCATCCCCATCGCCCGCACGCGAATGACCCCCGCGCGATTCGCTGCTCGCGCGGCGCGGGCGGGAGGAGCGCGACATACGCGTCACGTGCCTTTCCCGTACTTATACCACTATGGCGCGAGCGATCGGTTCTGCAGCCACCGCCCGTCCCCACACCGAGCCTCTCCTGTTATTCGCCGGCGCACGCACCCAGACCTCCACAAAAATTTGCTCACGATGGCGACAAACATCACTTTCCACCCCGGTGAGTGCGCCGCCGTGCCTGCGCGCAATCCCGCGCTCGCGAGTGGATGGTGCGGATTTTTGACCGGGGACCATCGGATGCAGGATCGGTGAGCGCGGAGGAGCGGTCGCAGCTGCTCACGCAGAAGGGCGCGACCGTCTGGTTCACCGGGCTCAGCGCGAGTGGAAAGGTACGTCCTTAGCGGCTCCTGGTCGAGTTCTCCGCGGAGCAGCGCTGATTGGGGGCGGACAGTCAACGATCGCGTGCGCGCTCGAGCAGCACCTCCTCCACCTGCACAAGTTCTCGTACCGCCTCGATGGCGACAACATCCGCTTCGGGCTGAACAAGGACCTCGGGTTCGACGAGAAGTCGCGGAACGAGAACATCCGCCGCATCGGCGAGGTACGCCCCCCTCCTCCGCACCTCTCGCGCGACCTCGCTTGCTGACACCCCGATCTCCCACCGCACCTACCCACCCACCCTTCCTCCTCAAATCTACACCGCACATCGGCGCGTGACCTGTGCCGGGCCCCACAGGTCTCGAAGCTGTTCGCGGACGCCTCCGCCATCGCGCTAACCGCATTCATCTCGCCCTACCGCGCCGACCGCGCGGTCGCGCGCGAGCTGCACGACAAGGCCGGGCTCACCTTCATCGAGGTGTACGTCGACGCGCCCCTGCACATCGTCGAGGAGCGCGACCCGAAGGGCCTCTACAAGAAGGCGCGCGCCGGCGAGATCAAGGGTGAGCACTGAGTTCCCGTGCCCCGCGGGGGAAAAGAGGATGGATTGTTGGGCTGACGGCTGACGCTGGGCTGCAGACTTCACTGGGATCTCCGCGCCGTATGAGGCGCCCGAGAGCCCGGAGGTGCACATCAAGACGGACGAGTGCGACGTGAAGGAGGCGGTCGCGCGCATCACGGAGTACCTCTCGTCGAAGGGCCTCATCTAGTTTATTCCCCCTCGTGCTCCGCGTTTTTGTTTGTTTATTTGGTGTGTAGGAGTAGGCAGTAATTTTATAGAGGCCTCGACAGTACGAAAACTGTATGGCGCGCGCCGTGCGCAAACGGATCGATGACTCCGATAGCAGGATGAGGACATGCATGTATCTCTGTATTATTCCCAAAAGAAAACGGCTTGTACCGACCAGAGTCTGTGGGCTTACAGGGAGAGAGAGAAACTACTGTTATACATGGTGGAAGCGTCTAGGGCACGACCGACAATACAGATAACAAACACATTCAAACTACCAAATACGACGACGACAGCCAGGCTACTCGAAGGGTACCGGGAGCGAGAACGACCCAGGCGTGACCGTACTATTACTCACCGTCCGCCCGTCCGCGAACTCGTCGCGCCAGCCGCGCTCGTACGCGCCCGCGCCCACGCCCGCGTCCTCCTGCTCCTCCTCGATCGTGTCCTGGCTCGGGCGCTCGAGCATCTGCGTGAGCCCCGCCTCGACGACGGCCATCCACTGCTGCAGCTCGTCGACTGTGCGCGCGAGCTCGCTGTGCGTCGCCTCGTGCGAGTGCATGAGCGGCGCGAGGTCGAGCGAGCGGATCGGCGGGCCTGCGAGACCCGCGAGATCTACGGGGAGCGCGTGCGAGCCCCCGAGGGAGAGCGAGCGCGTGTGTGAGCCGAAGGAGGAGGAGAGGTCTGTGGACGCGAGGCGCAAGTCCGACGAGGAGTGGTTCGGGTACGAGGAGAGCGAGTTGAGGGAGGTGGTTGAGGAGGATGCGGTGGAGTTCGGCTGGGGATACGAGCCGGAGGGTTTGGGATGTCGTTGGGGGATGGGAAATGGTGAGGGTGAAGGCGGAAGGAGATCCGACATGCCCAATTTGTGCTCCGAGCTGAGCGTCGGAATCTATACATACATTCACTATTAGCTCGAAGCCGTGAGCGCAGATACATTGTACAGCAAACGTACCTTCAGCACGTCCCGGAGGCCAGGAACCGGTATCCCTGATGACTGGCTGAAGGACGACTCCGCGGGGCTGCCGCTCCGCTCTTTAGCGAATGGCCTTGAAGGCATGTCCAGAACGCCAGTAGACCCGAGACGAGTGAGGCTTGGTCGTCTGAGAGCAGACCTCGTCGAAGCTATGACTGAATTCTGGGCGGCTGCGAAGGAGTGAGGGGGGTCCAATGCTGTCGCCGATCGTGCGCGGACAATGGGTGGCGGTGTTGGGAGCGAGCCTCCGGGGGATGCAAGACGTTTGGGAAGAATGGAAGCATCCAAAGATTGGGATGTCTGGTGTATACTCGAAGTCGTTGATATTGTGGAGATAGTGGAGACGCTCGAGCGGGTAGGCGATCTGCGGTCATGTCCGTGTGGAAGGCTGAACGTGGGCAAAGGCGACGGCGGCGCAGAGTCGTCGTGTGCACTTGGCGGGAGAGTTGATATGGGAGGGAAGCGGAAGTCAGAAGTAGCAAGGACCCGGGGTCGCGTAGTACTCGATACAGACGGGACCGGAGCACCGCCCGTACTACTCTGGGATCTTTTTCGACTCGCTGTTGGTCGATCAGTCGTCGAACGCTCCGGAGAAGAGATCGATAGGCCTATAGGTGGGTACCCATCCACGGTTGCATCGACGGGTGATACTTCCGGGATCTCGATGTTGGGTACACCTCGGCTAGACCTAACCTCGCGATAGGTTGAGACAGGCTTTGCGAAGGGCGTGTCGGATTGTTCCTCTTGACCAAAGCTGAATGTTGTAGGGGCTGCCACACGTGGAATGCCAGGTCCAAGAGGCGGCAGGCGCCCCCGTTTTCGGTCAAGTGGCGAAGGCGGAGCCTCAGCGTCATCCGGGTCAGGGCCCCTAGACTTAGATCGAGGAGTTGAGGGCCGAGGAGGAAAGACAAAAGCGGATTGTTTAGCGGTACGCGGATCGTCTCCAGGAGGTTCCGGAGTGGTGAGGCCGCGAGAGGGGCTACGGCCTCGACTAGGTGGTGACGCGATGTTGAGGGAATGATTGGCCATCAGCTCCTCCGAGGGCATTTCGAAAGTCGGCATGGGGAACGAATCGGGAGGTGGGTCGCCATAGTCGAACAAGTTCCGCAACGTAGCGGGAACGTTCGTCGGGGGCGGGCGCACCGTGGACTGTGCACCAGCCGCCTCATCTTCCAGCAGCGTGAGTAACGCGCTCTCGGGCTCAAAATTATCCATGCTTGAAGTCGACCGCCCCCTGACAGTGTCGAACTCCCAGGGATTTTCATCCTCCTCGAGATCTGAGCCGTCTCGGTTTCTGATGGGTATAAGTGCCCGTCTTATGAGGAATATATCGGCGGTTCTATACGCACCCTCGATCGCGCTCTTCCTCCTCCTCCCACGGAAGAGGTGCTGCTACGCTGGCTCTTGACCCACCGCCCTTGATCCAAGCATCATAGCGAAGTATGAGGTCTTTCAGCATGGTGACGGGCGTCTTCCTGACCGTCTGTATCCACTTTGTCTTGCCCAGCTCTTCCGCGGACAGACGCTATAGGGTGCAGCGCGTAAACATTGGTAACTAAGACTGCAGACGAGCAACGTACGTCACTCGCAGACTCTCTCAGACATGCAGCCACAAAATCCCGTAAGTCTTTGCTTCCTTCCCCCTCGTTGAGGCGTGGCGGCTTCATGCGCGGGATAAGCTGAATGAGCTTGTGCTGATCCACTATATGCGAGTTGGGCGCGCTGCCTTTGATCATCTCGTAAATCATGATACCCAGGCTCCAGATGTCGGCCTTGGTATCGTACGCCGATGCATGCGCCACCTCCGGAGCCATCCAGTGTGGTGTACCGACCAGTGTATTGCGTTTGCTCGAGGCGGTTACCAGCAGCGCAGAGACACCAAAGTCGCAGATCATTACCTTGCCCGCGGAGGTTATGAGGATGTTCGCCGCCTTGAGGTCGCGGTGGATGATGGACGACTTGTGGAGGTAGCTGAGGCCAATCAAGACCTCGCGTGTGATGACCGAGACGTACTTCTCCTCGACCACGCCGTCCTTGCAAGCCTTCATGAGCGTGCGCACGCTGCCGCCCTGGGCGAACTCCATGACGATCCACACCCGCGGGCCGTCCATGTGGCATCCGAAATACTTCGTGACGTTCGGGGCGTCCCTGAGCTGCGTGAGGAGCGCAACCTCGCGCTGGATGTCGCCCACATCGTCGTCCTCGGTGTCGAGGTTAATGATCTTGAGTGCGACAACTTCTCCCGTGCGGAGGTCCCGCCCCTTGTGCACGGAGCCATAGGCGCCTTTTCCTACAGTTTCAAGACGCTGATAGAGCTGATGTACAGAGACTGGGGCCATTGCAGCAAGATGGTGACAAGAGTCGAAGAACTATACAAGAACCGCTGAAGGGCGTGATCGAGGTGCTTAGAACCAGCTCAGACAGAATCATGGGGGCCAGTGTGTGAATGAGGCAGGCGTCAAGTACACGTGCGGGACTCAGCAGGTGGGAGGAGAAGACATATGTCGAAGAGAAGGCCCAAGCTCGCTGTGGGAGACGACGACGAAGACACACAACTTCGGTTAACTCGGCGTCCTTGCGTCTGATATTATGTGCGTCTACCGGTCCGCGTTTCCCGGTCTCCTAACATTTATCAAGTTTTCAGAACGGAAAGTCGTGCTAGTACTCCAACTGCATGTCACTTAGGTTGTTCGTTGTCGTAGACAACATGATTAGATTAGAATAGAGTATGCGCCGCGTGTATGCAACAAAGGGTATATACTAATGAGTGTTGAGTTCAAATGATCGGCAATAATGAGATGCATGCCCGCAAGCGCCATAACTCCATCCTTCCAGAGACCATATCTCGAGTCTTTACAAGTTCTTAGCCAGCGGGCTAATCTGCGGCAGGCCAGGGTAGTACGCCGTCGGGATAACGCTGCAAGTCCGCCGTTAGCCTTTAAATCCTCAGCCGCAGTATTCCATAGCACAACTCACGGAGTGGGGATAGCCGCGTTCGTCGCGAAACCTGACTTGAGGTCGCCCGGCATCACCGTGGGCGCAACGTACCCGCTTGGCTTCGAGATCGACTGCGTCACCTTCGCGTACGCGGTGTGCGTCGAGCCGCTCTTGATGCAGGCAAGCCCGGAGCCGTACGCGCTCTCGCACTTCACGACCGCCTTGTCCGTCTTCGACCACAAATTCATGTTCTTCAATGTAATGCCCGTGCAGGGCGCTCCGTCGGCGCAAATGAGCTGAGCAGGGGCGCGTGCAACGCCGTCGTTCACATAGCCGATCCAGTTCTGCGCGTTTCAAAATGGATAGGAAGGTAGTGAGTTTCGGGCATCGAGAGGATAGCGCGAGTGTCGCACCGAGAAGGTAATGTCCGACAGCGCCACGCCAGCACCGGTTCCAGGCGTCTGCGAAGACCAGTACTGGTCGATGTTGAGGCCATACGCAGTGCCGTGAGCCATGAAGGTGTCGAGTGTCACGTCCCTGACATAGCCGGAACCCTTGTTGCTCTTGATCATGAACACCTGGTTTCCGCCATTCGTGTATACGTTCCTGAAGGACGCTGATTAGCTTCGATAATCGTGCTCTAGGTATACGCTGCGCTGACTTGTATTGGACTTTCTCGATGGCGGTACCGTCAGACAAGCTACCGATGGCACTGCCGCCGGACTGGTTGCACCAGACTGAGACCCCGATTAGTCTATGACCAACTTGTTAAAATCGAAGCGAAGACTCACTGCGCTCAACGAGGATGTTCGAAGCGGGCGACTATTGGGCCCACTATCAGCCGACGTACTCGCGCTACTAATTGACTAGATGAACTTACCTTGACGGTGACGCACTCGTCGCGGTTGGTCACCTCGACATCATGAATCCAGTGGTTGGTACCCCAAACATCGACACCATCGGAGCCACCGATATCGGCGCCTGCAGTGGCCGGATGTCAGCAGCTTCCTTCGCCAGTATCACGACGAAGGGATTACATACCGCGAATAGCCATGTTGTAGACCTCTCCGTTGGAGCCCGCCTCAACGACCAAGTGGAACTCCGGAGCTGTGAGAGGTTAGACAACTTCCGGCGGTATGAAAAGCTACTCTTACAGTCAACGAGAATGAGGTCGTGCACGGAGAAGTTCGTGGACTTGACCATGCGGATGAGACGAGGCCTGCAACCGCGTTAACAAACCTGCCGCCGCCAAATATTGTTGTGGACTTCTTACCCGGCGTTACGGCACTGGTAGCCAGCTCCCTGGATTCCACCTGCGCTGTTCGCGGAGTAGAACTCGAAGTCGTTCGCGCCCTGGATGGCAATCATGTTACCACCCGTAGTTGCCGTGCGAGTGATGAGGCCGTCAAGGCGGAAGGCCCACTTGGAGCCGTTCTTGAGGGTGACCCAGGTCTTCATGGCATAGTTTCCTATCATCCGCCAAACGTCAGCACTATTCGCCGATCAAACCAGAGCATGAATACATACCAGCAGGGACATAAAGCGTAGACCCAGAGTTTTTCGTGACACATTCCTAGACATCCGCCGGAAGCGTGAGCGCGAGCACGCATTCGCCTGGTGAACCAGCACACGCACATCGAACGCCTTCTGAATCGCGGGCCCGATGTCTGTGGAGCCGACCTTGCCTCCGTAGTCGAGCACGCTGCACGTCTTCACCTGCTTCGCGGAGAGCGCGCTCGTCGGGCCAACGTGCCCCGAGAGCTGCGCAGAGGCCGCGGAGATGAGGAGAAGGGACGCAAGGAGGGACTTGATGCTCATGATGAGGTCGGGTAAGGGAAGGTCAGAGGTCGAAACGGCGGCCTCTGCTCGTTCAATGCACCCGCGCTGCCTTTATACGACCCCGCGCGCGCGCGTGCGCATACCGACCCGGGTGGCGGAACCCACGACCCTGGCGCGGCGCTGGGCTTCTGAGGCGTGCCGCCGCTGCCGCGCGATGCGGGTGGGCAGTATCGTTGTGTAGTTACCGAGACAACTCCGTCACGGATGAGCATGTGGAGGCTCGGAGTGCGGGAAGCCAGTCGAGGCGCCAACAGAGGACAGCGGTCACCGAACCAATGGCCCGGGGTACCCGCAGTAGACAAAGCCGCGGGTGATCTTTTAGCCCGGGAGGCCGACAGGCGGAGCGTTCAGTTGCATGACGATCTTCGTGGCTGGCGAGGCCGGCGGTACTAAGCCGGAGCGGTTTGTTGCCAGGCACCGAAATCACTTTGCCGGGGTGTTGGTGGTACATACATGTGTTCGCTCAGAAGCCTGTGAAGAGTGTAATCAGGTTTCGGACCGGTATAATCAGTGCTACGTGCTTGAACACTGCTACGTACTTAGCTGAAGTACAGGTTCTCCCCGTTCAGACTTACGCTCTCCGGCACAACAAGCCAAGGCGAAGACACTTACGACAATTGAACGAGGGGAGGCCACGGGAGCCACCGGCCGTTCTCAACCCATAAATTGTCTTGGCAGTAGGAAGAGAACCTAGTGTTGCACACGGTCAGCTCCTAGTGAACAGATGCTGGTTATGCTAGACCGGAGCGGGCACATCAGGCGGCCGCCCTCACAAGACATAGTATATGGAAGAGCGTCGAGCATGTGGTGGCCTGCTCGGTCTTGGGTCGGAGGCTCGGACGTACTTTGAGCTCCAGTACAACGCCAATCAGAACTTCTTCGAGCAGAGAAAGTCGGGATGTGAGTAGTCGCTGATGCTCGTCCCGGGCGTGGAAAGCCCGGCGGGCCGCGCACATCCGCCAACGCCATGACATCGAAAATGAGTCTCTGATGGAGTCTAGCTTGATGCAGGCCTGCTAGCAATGACCGCACAACAGCGCACAACGTGGTTAGCTGCCTCTTCTACCGGGTGCGTGCGACGCCGCTGCAGGATACTTACATAGTGGGGGTATGAGAGCAAGAGGCATCCGTCACGCAAGGCGCTGCTTCTAGCGAAATATTGGTCAGTGCGCTGGGCATTGACGCTGCAGTAGTTGTGTTGAAAATACTCGCACAAAGCGGCAAGCCTAGGCTCGTAAACCAGCCTCACGTTCGGAGGCGGAAGACAATCGTTCCTCCCGAAGGGAGGCTGGAACCTCTTGTGAGGGGGGGTGGTGGTGACCCCCGTGGGAACGACGCGCCAAAAAGTGTCTCGAGGCCTCTCCTCGCCTCTCCTCGCACGCCGATCTACCCAGCGAATATTCTTGAAAATAAAGGGGCGGACTCACAGCACCGACTGTTCGTGATAGAATATTTTTTGTCATGACATGCTGCACATAGACCGCCATGCAACTTTCGACGACGCAGGGCTTCAGCCACCCGTTCAATGTCCGCTGACATCTCTCGCCCAGGAATTGCAACTCAGCCGTTCCCACGGGGGTCACCACCACCCCCCTCACAAGAGGTTCTAGCCTAGGCAAGCCCGCGAAGGTTATTTGAGTTTGTCGCGGCGCCCTGCGCAGATCTGAGATCTGCGATATGCGCTTTCAGCGCTATGTCGCTCGGTACCGAGCTTTCTGCGTGCGCATACCACAAGAAGTTTACCATCCGGGCCCGCCTCCAGCAGGGCGCCATAACCACGCAAGTCTACATTCCAAGTCATGCATTGGTGGCCTTGCATCATGATGACAGACGCTGTGAGTCGCATTCCTACGATCTGTCTGGAGCCCTGGAATCCGTGGATGTTGACCGTGGTCCTCAACATACACCATGACACCATCCTCCCAAAAGTCGTGTTACGAGTCTTTACTTGTTCTTGGCGAGCGGGCTGATCTGCGGCATCCCAGGGAAGAACGAAGTCGGGATGGTCCTGTGCATCCACCGTCAGCCCTCGCGCTTGCCCACATCCATTCGCAGCGGCGGCAGCAGCAACAACACTCACGGGGTGGGGATGGGTGCGTTCGTCGCAAAGCCCTGCGCGAGGTCGCCGGCCATCGTCGTCGGCGTGGAGTATCCGCCCGGCTTCGAGATCGACTGCGTCACCTTCGCGTACGCGGCGCCGCTCCCGCTCTTGATGCACGACACCCCAGAGCCGTACGCGCTCTCGCACTTCACGACCGCCTTGTCCGTCTTCGACCACATGTTCACGTTGTTCAGCGTGATGCCCGTGCAGGGCGCGCCGTCCGCGCAGATGAGCTGGATAGGGGGGCGTGCGACGCCGTCGCTGACGTTTCCGTCCCAGTTCTATATGTCCGGAGTGAGATGAGATTCGGATATCGAGAAGGAATTTGGGAGGGACGCACCGAGAAGGTGATGTCCGACAGGGCCACGCCAGCACCTGAGCCTGGCGATTGCGAGGACCAGTACTGGTCGATGTTGAGGCCGTACGCGGTGTCGTGGGAGATGAAGCTATCGAATGTCACCTGGCGCACGTATCCGGAGCCCTTGTTGCTCTTGATCATGAACGCCTGGTTGCCGCCGTTCGTGTACACGTTCCTGAAGGACGCTGATCAGCTGCGAGGATCGTTTTGGGTCAGCTTCGCTCACCTATACTCGACGTTCTGAATCGCAGTGCCGTCGGACAAGCTGCCAATGGCGCTGCCGCCTGACTGGTTGCACCAAACTGGTCACAGTCAGCTCACGTCTAACTTTCTATAGCCTTCGGAGAAGACTCACTGCGCTCGACGAGAATGTTTGAAGCAGGCGACTGATGGTCCATTAGCGGACATGCCGGAGAGACTGTTTTACATGATGAACGCACCTTGACAGTCACGCACTCATCCCGGTTGGTAACCTCGACGTCATGGACCCAGTGATTGGTGCCCCATACATCAACACCATCGGAACCGCCGATGTTAGCGCCTGTAGTCGCGGGAAGTTAACAGCGTGGTTCGCCGGTATGATGAAGAGGATGCAACATACCGCGAATGGCCATGTTGTAGACCTCTCCGCCGGAGCCCGCCTCGAGGACCAAGTGGAACTCCGGAGCTGTAAGACGTCAGGGTTTGTCAGGCGGTACAGTGAGCGGTCTTCTTACAGTCGACGAGGATAAGGTCGTGCACGGAGAAGTTCGTGGACTTGATAATGCGGATGAGACGCGGGCTGCAGCTGTGTGTCAGTGCAAAAGTTGCAGACAGGTCATCGGCCATCCTCTTACCCGGCGTTGCGGCACTGGTATCCAGCACCCTGGATGCCACCCGCGCTGTTTGCGGAGTAGAACTCAAAATCGTTCGCGTTCTGGATAGCGATCATGTTACCGCCAGAGGTCGCTGTACGCGTATCCTATGTAAGTCCACGAACGGTCGGTAGAGCGTCCGGTCCACTGACATGTACGGGTGATCAAGCCGTCAAGGCGGAAGGCCCATCCGCGGCCGTCCTTGAGCGTGACCCAGGTTTGCATGTTGTAGTTTCCTATCAGCCACCTAACGTGAGTGCCCGGCCACAATCCAGTCCGCGGAAGAAGACAGACCAGCAGGAACATACAACGTTGCCCCGGCCTTTGTCGTCACACATTGCTGCAAGTGCCAGAAGCGTTAGCCCACTCGCGAACCCGGCGCGCCAAAAGCGATGAGCGTAGTACGCACGTCGAAAGCCTTCTGGATCGCGGGCCCGATGTCGCTCGAGCCGACCTGGCCACCGTAGTTGAGCACATTGCAGATCAACGACTGCTTCGAGGACAGCGGGGTCGTCGGGCCGACAGACCCCGAGAGCTGCGCAGATGCCGCAGAGATGAGGAGGAGGGACGCGAGAAGTGACTTGATGCTCATGGCGAAGGAAGCTCAAAGGTAAACACGGCGGCCTGTGCTCGTTCCCGGTCAAGCGCACCCGCCTTTATACTTGGCAGCATCCACGGCCTGGTGCTACGCGGGGATTCTTGGGGAGTGCCGCAGCCGCCGCGCGATGCGGGTAGGCAGTATCGTCGGAAGGTCACCGAGACAACTCCGCCACGGATCCGGAGGAGCGTATAGTGGGGATTTCGGCGTCGAGGTGCCAAGGCCTGTGCCCACCCAGAGGCGCGGGTAAACCTCTGGTCGGTGGGACCTCAAGATGACGTTCGGGGCGTCGAAAGTTGGGTTGCATGACCATCCCCAGTGATCTTCGAGGCCGGCGGTACGAGTCTGGATGGGTAGTTGCTAGGCACCAAAGGCAGTTTACCGGAGCAGTGGTACATTCGCTCGGAGGTTTGCGACGAAGAGTGTGACCGGCCTTAGGGGTTGCCCTCCTCATGGTCCTGCGGTGCTTCTCATGGGAGAGACGCGGCCGTGCTAACGACAATTGGACGAGTAAACGCCCCGAGTTGTTCCACATCCTCGGATCGTATTGAACGATGCACACCGCGGGCCACATGAAAGGTGATGCTGCATCGGCACCACAAAGCTTGAACGTACACGAATATTGAGCATGTGGTAGCGAGTCGGACCTACCTGCGGTGAAATTTAGGTCGATCAGAACTTCCACGTCGCACGAGCAGCAGCAACTCCGCTGTGGAGAGCTAGCGGGCCGTACATACCCGTCAATGAGATGTTGATGCAAGACGAAAGCTGTTTGACGAAGACGCTGGAGACTCATGGGAGGAGGATCCACGGCCATTACTACAAGACGGTGTTGCTCCGTTTCATGCTCGGTGCCGCCGGTAGGGTAACGTGGCTCAAAGGCAAGAGGCGCCGGCTCGGTACCGAGCACCACTGTGGCGCCGATCCCATATCTCAGATTTGCACAACCGCCACGACATACTAAAATAAGCATTTCGACTTGGCATGCTCAATTGCATCTTGGCTCACATTGCAGTGCGGGGAAGTGATCGCACAACGGATGTATATTCAAAACAGAGCAAAGGATAGTGATGCATTTAGAACTACACAACAAATTGCGGTCTACTGCAGGGGCTTGGGGTATCGTCCAGTCCGGGACATAACATACAGATGCAGCAGCCAATCAAGCAAGGGTGGCGAAGCCGACGGAGTTGGTGCCGAAGTTGAACGCGGTGTAGACGTTCTTCATGAAGCTGTCGCCGAGCAGCCACACGTTGCTGCCGAGACCGATGTCCTGGCCTGCAAGCGCGCCGACGCACTTGCCGGAGCCCGTGCTGGTCTCACCGAGCGAGAAGCTGAAGCAAATTAGATCAGCGTGGGCTCTGCCGTTGCAGAGATGAGGACACTCACTTGTCGGCCGAGATGGTCCAGGACTTGCCGCCCCAGGAGAAGGACACAGAGGGGGGCGAAGAGCACGGGAAGGAGTAGTAGCCCTCCGACGAGTCGTACACGGCCGAGCCGCTGACCTTGCTGTAGAAGGTCTTGACGGCGGAGGGGGGACCGTACATGATCGTGGTGCCGCTGTCGATGATGGTCTCGAAGCCAGAGTTGGCCGTCGTAGAGCCGACGAGCGCCTTCGCGCCCGTCAGCTGCCAGAAGCCGGTCGAGGTGTCGATGGAGTGGTACTCGATCGCGCCCGTGTACAGCTTGCTGTCAGTGCCGCCGAGGTACAGCTCAGAGCCAGAGGAGGCGAGCTTGAACCCGAAGACGTTCGACGTCACAGCGCCTTGCGAGAACGCGGTGTTGAAGAAGGGGGACTGGAGGAGATGTGAGACGGGGCCAGGGTGATATCTGGGAACAGCTGCTTACCTCGTTCAGGTTCGAGATGGCGGGGTAAGCAAGGCCCAGGATACCATCGATCGGGTCGTCCGCGAACGAGCTCGAAAGGGTGGTCACAGGCGAGAAGTACTGCGTCTTCGCGGTGATACCGGCGACCGCAACGGTGTCGGTGTAGATGGGGCCAGAGACGGTAGAGCCATCACCGTACTCGATGGAGAAAGAGCCGCTCTTCTTGACGCTGGTCGACGAAGAGGCCGCGGTGTACTTGCTCTTGCTCTTGCAGGTCGAGCTCGTGCAAGCGGACGACGGGAGCCAGAGGTCGGAGGAGCCGGTGTCGAAGTCGATCAGGAACTTCTGGGCGGGGGTGCCGACGGAGATCGTGCCGGCCCACTCCAGGTCGTCCTCCTCGTCGGTGAGGGCCTCGCTCTGGCGCTTGGCGAGGCTCTCGGGGACGACAGCGAGGGGCTTGATCTCAGCGCCCTCCTTGAAGACATGGCTTCCGACGTTCTTCTCCAAGTTGATCAGGTTCGCCCGGTGCTTGCTGTAGAGGGCGCAGTAGGTGAGCATGTGTACAGATTGCACCGGACATGAATGGCACTCACTTCTTGGTCTGGATGGTCGACAGGATGGCCTTCTCGTGGTTGAACGTGCCGTCGGGGTTCGTGAGGGACGAACGCTTGGCGAGGGGGATGGAGATGCCGGCGTCCTTGAGGGGACTCGCGGCAGCGATGAGCGCGAGAGCGACTGTAACGAGGGAGGCTTTGCAGAACATGGCGAACGGGTAAGGAGAGCGACGAAAGGCCAGTGAAGGGCTTCGAGGAGTTCAGGAGGGGGAGACCTGATGAGGATGAGGGCACGGAAGAGCAGACTTTATAGTGTTGGCGTCGCTGCCCGGCAGAAAGGCGGACGGCTGGAGAAGGCGTATTAGCAGCCATGTGGCGTTTGTAGGGAGTTCATTCGACCGAACTTCTTCTCCACGATGGAGCTCGAGGTTAGATCGCTGATGGCGGTAAGTGGCGGTCGCAACGAGTATGGCCAGGCAGCGCCCGATCGTCCACCGGGCACGACAACCATGTGGTCAGATAACTGCTGCGACACAACGCTGCAGTCGTGCTGTCCTCGCCATATGCACGCGCGCCATTCCGAGCAGCAGCTGATTTGGATAGCGTTCGGTTCTGTCGGTTGGGTGTCCTGGTTGAGGCGGCGGAGCTGGAGCCGGCGGCTCAAAGTGATCGACCGCGACGCGTGGGCGTTCCCCCGCAGATCAACTCCGTCCGATTGCCGGCGTCCGTCCATTTCCGCCGACCTCACCACAACGGACCCGTTTTGGCCTCTCTTCTCTTCCCATAACACAAACATCTTGCAGCCTTCTGAAAACTAGCGGATGCACTCCTTGTTTTCCGCCGCTTTCCGCCCGGGGATTCTGGCGCTGGCCGACGCGCGCTTTGTAGCGCATACTCGACTCGGACCTGCGGAGTAGCTCAACAAACCATGGCCACATGCCAGCCAGACATGCATGCCTGAGCGATATCGGACATCGTACTCGCCGTCCACTCAATGAACGCACCACATGGTGAACACGATAAACCGGCGGTTGTCGCGCTAGAGTTGCGTAGCGAGCTGTCGCCCGACGGCGCAATCAACGTCCGCGATGCATGTGAGCAGCGCGCTCCCGGTAAGTTCGCCATCATCGTAACGCACGGCGACGACAGCTCAACGTACGCCCTCCGTTCTAATAATAGCTCGCCCCTGCTGCGTGCCCCTGCGTGCATTGCGGAGGAACGTCCTAGCCGGGGTACCCCATGCGTGTGCAGCGCGAACCTTGTGCTTCCCGCAACAGCCACCAGCGCTTCGCAAAGGCACACCCCTCTCGCGCAATTGAGCGGACGGGGCCCACCGCCGCTATCTCAAGTTTTGCGGCTCCGAGTCGCGCGAAGATCGGCGTTCGTGCGTCACCTGTAGATGTCTAAAGCGTGCTCTAACCACCGATGCGGTCCTCAGTAGCCTCTCCGCCATACACAACGCGTGGAAACGCTGGACCTGTGACCGCAGTCGTTACGGGACCACACCGTTCACCGGTCCCGCCCTGGCGTTCGGGGTCGAGGCTCACGTCGACCTACCACCTATGGAAAGCACCCGACATCCCCTTCTACAATCCGACCTCCCCGCGCCCGCGCCCATGCGTTTCTAGCAATCGGCCAGGTTCAAGATACGACCGTAGTTCGAGCTTCAAATCCACGGCATTGATAGCCGTCAACGATATGCAACCATGCATGACGCTAATAACGCTGTTTGTTGCCAGGAAATACCTGTAACATACCCCGTGGCTGATAACTTGCGCGTACGCACCACGCCCGGTTCACAGTCTTGGGTGCACCATACATAGAAAGCTATCAACAACAACACGACAGTAACGCGTCCGCGTGTCTAGGATATTCGATCATCCTACCCACGATGCCCCCGTGTGCACTGCGGCTTTGCTGCGGCTATCTCGTTGGCGCCATCGTGCGCGCCAGCCACGTCCATGCAACTGCGCATGGTAGCGATTTCGTCGTCGTGCATCATCGAGCGCAGCAGTTCGCCGATAATACTCTAACGATTCCTTGCAATACGGGCGTGGCAGCGCACGCCTTTAGTCAATCATGTCAGAATCCTCAGTATGTGGCACCACTCCAAACTACCGACCCGTAGATCGTGATACTGAATCCATGCCCAACGTTTATGGGCGTAATAAGACCAACGCTCGGAAGCGCGGTCGTCCTCGGGGCGGCGCTGGCTATTCAGAACTTGATCGCATTAGTACTTTTCGTTTGGTTTCGTTGGCTGCTTGTGCTCATAACTTGGCTCACATTTCGTTATTAATAGGTTAGTAACGCCCTGACACATGTCTCAGTCTGAGCGTCGCCCGCGGCAATATTCTTCGCATCCTCAATTAAAGGCGAGGTCAGGAGTGGACCGATCTGCAAATATTCTTGACGTCCCGGGCCAGTGACGGCACTCTACGCATCCCGAGGTAACAGTGCAGCAGGAAGGCATCCGCTTACGTCTCCAAGGACGCGAGGTATCCGGACCGCAAGTTCTGGTCCCGGAGAAGTGTGCCATGTGTCTGAGAGCAGGGTTCGACCTGTCATCGCGACTGGTACGTCCGTTCCTATATAGGTCCACAGAGATGCCCTTTGCCTTCATACATGGACCATCAATCCATGCATTATGTTATTTAAGCTTCAGACACCCTAACCTTAATAGAGCAGACGAACGCTGCGAATCTGCGCCGGAAGCCTCCCTTAAGTGGTTGGGTTGGACACACATGATCCGAGGCAGACAGCTCGTCGGGGTCGTCGCTGCGGTTTACACACCCCGATTGCACACTTGACGTTGGCATCACCCGTTCAAATTGCCAAATACGGTCGCAGAAGATCAAAAGATCGAGTCGCTGCGCCTCAGTGTGGTTTGATACGTACAGTGACATATCCATCTACACTCTCCTTGTCATGCGACAGCCATATTACGTCGTGGCTTAGCCGTGGCGAAAAGCTTGCACTAGCCTGCGGAGCGAGCGCGGACTCCCTACAACCCAGCTGGTCGACCTCAAGAACCTATCTCGGGTGCACGCTGATTGGCCTCATACATTACTTGACGAGCCATATCCGCCACGACCCTGTACGTTCTCACCATCTGTCCCATCTTGTGAATATTAATACAACTTCCCGCTCGCCCCTAAACTCCATACCCCCATCCCCAGCTTGTACCACTCGTCGCATCTCTCATGTCCGCCAGAAACGACGGCGACTTTCTGTTTCTCGACGCGTCGACCGATTTCGATAATACCAGAACATGCAATGGCAGAAACCCTGATATACTGCCAGTGCCTGGCCTGAGCTTCTCATCCGAGGTATGCTAGTAAACCTTTGCGTAGCTGATGGCCGCTCATACTTTGCTTCTATCAGTATGATGCAGCGCAGCGGCATCCGGGTTCAATTTTACCAAATTTCGCCAACCTTTCGTACACCCACAATTCTAGCGCATATGTCGCAACAATTCTTCCGGGGCCAGACTCGGATCACGTACACGCTACGCGATACTACGATAATATGACACCGCCAGTGGTTAGTAACTGCTCGATTAGTCAAAACCTACACGAATTAACGATGCAGTGACCGCCCTTGCTTGAACCCATTCTCAACTATAGTACGACACTACTCCATGCTACGAGCCGTGTCACTATACCAGTGGACCGCGTGCAACCCCGATGCTTCAACCCGACCTGCCACAGCAATACGGTCCGTGGGCATATTCCTTTGCTCAACCGGCGATCAGTTCGCGGCCGCTCGAATACGACCCATTTGAAGGCCAACGGCGGCCTGACCAGCGCGATTGTTGGAATCGAGCTCCACAATACTATCAGCCAGCTGCAGATCATATAGCGGACCTTCCCTTCCCCCTTCCCGAGCCAATTCGCCCGGTCCCTCAGTCCAACTTCGCTGATCAACACGTCTCGTTCACGGCGGTTTCAGGTCCCAGGGAGACATATGCAGTACGAGAGGCAATTTTTGGCTCCGTCGCTAGTCCTCGACTAATCTTTATTGGCGTGCGGCGTGTCCCATAGATACTGCAACAAAAGCTTTACCGAACGGGTATTCCAACAACAAATTCACACCCTCCTATACAATTCCACGGCTTCAGTCTATTAAAGGCATACAACCGGGAGACACAAGACCTGGTAGATTCTAAACAACCGGCGCTGGAGAGAGATTTTGAACTGGCGCAGAAGATGGTCATCGTCTTCCTGGTATGTCCTTCGCAACAACGCCTCGTTTCCGTGGAGCTCATAGATCATGCGGCGCGTAGTTTGCAGGTTGCCCCAAATATTCTCGTCAGGTCCACGTCTTCCGAAGCGGCACGCACCCGGGGCCTCGCACTCGCGCCCAGCTCGCGACCGTCATCGCCAAGGAGATGTATCGGTTCATGGTGAGCTCAGACATGCTTGTTCTCCGGGTTCCTTCCAAGGCACTTACGCCCAAACCCTCTCCACTACAGAACATAGCCTTGAAGGCGGGCCGGCCGCTACAATCCCAGGAAGGAGAAATGTTAGCACTGGGAGACCTCGTTGTGGTGGACGTTCGCCACGTCTCCCAGGGGAGCCTTCAGCCCACGATTGGTCTCATTCAACGACCCGCAAAGTCAGCTCCTGAATGAACAGCGGCCCAGAAAAACAGGCGCCACCCGAGTTGCCTACTCCTTATGCTACTACCGTGGGCCCGCCGGAAGGGCGACCTGTCGATATGTCAGCTTCACCGTGACCATGCCTCCTAGTGGCGAACTCGCCAACCTCTTCGATTCTGTGTCCTTTGTAATTTTAATCGTGATATCAACCCGCCACTGGCTTATGTACACTGTGCGCTCGACATTTCCCGCATGCTTGATCCTAAAAGACAACAAAATAGCCAATTATTCCAGTAGGACCTGTTGCTGCAAGGTCGGCACACATCGGTGTCAGCAGTCAGCAGTCGCATAATATCGCATAGGAATACACTGATGAAATCGCCTGTACACCCTTCCCAATCCCAGTCCGTCTCTACGTCGCGCACACATACACGGAGCAAGCACACATGGTGCATGGTATATTCCTGCTCTTCACCTTCCAACTTGTCGTCACCGCTCATACACCTACTTCCTTTCCTCGAATGGGTTCTCGACATACTCTAGCTCGTCATCCTCGTCGCTCGGCCGCGTCGGCGGCGGCGAGTTCGCGTTCAAAAGCGACACTGGGCGTTTCGGCAACAACCCGATCTTAGCTGTGGTGCGGACTTGAGCACGTACTCCACATTTTTAGCACAGAATGGACCCACCAGCATTTACAGGGCTGCCACTAGCAGTTGTCGGCGGCCTCGGTACGTCTCCGGAGGGCCGCGGCGACGCTGCGGGCGACAGCGACGCCCCCGATGTAGGGCCCGTGGGTAGGCCAGGAATGGGCGCAGCCACGGGCGGGGCGCTACGCTGTGCAGGGGGCGCATCGAGGTCGTACCCCTGGACCGGCTCGCGCGTGGTGGTAGAGGGGCCATTCAGGGAGATAGGCTGGTCTGCTGCGGGGCTGGGCTCGCCCGCGTAGTATTGCTGCTGGTACGCCGCCTGCGATGCGGAGTGTCGATCGAGCTGGCCGGAGGGGGCGGCGCCCCATTGTGGTTGGGTGGATGTGGTGGCGGCCTGACCTGGGTTCCTGCGCGAGATGGTTCGTATCAAGGAGCGGAGACGGAGATAGATGGGAGACGAACCTCGTTGCCTCGTACTCATTAATCTTCGCCTTCACTTTCGATACGATAGAGCTGAACGTACGCTTTCCGCCTAGAAGGTGCAGTCAGCTTGTGATTCCCGGTAATGATTGTGCAGGTGGGAAACTCACTTTCCGCGATCTGCCCCATCGTGCGTTGCAGCTCCTGCAAGTCGTTCCGTCCCTCAGCCGGCGGCACTCCAGCCCGGCCTCCCGATGTCTGCCGCGCCTGGTAGGGCACTTCGGCCTGGTCGCGTCGGGGCCAGGAGTTACCGGAAGCACGCTGCTGCTCGCGCTGGTCCTCGAGCATCAGCTGCCGGGCGAGCTGCTCGTCCAGGTCCACGGAAGGCTGTTCGGGCTGATCCAATACGTCGCGACACGTTAGATGCCTGCTGTGCAATCACGATATGCAATGGGGGCATACCTGAGGTGCGGGCTGCGTCGAGACGTAGTCCGGGTCGCTCATGCCGAGCAGGAGGTCGATCGCGCGCTCCTGGTCGCCATTGACCGAATCCAATACTGATTGACTGCACGAACATCCCGCGCTATGTCAGGGAGGCGTTCGCAAGCGTGATAAGAAAGGTAGACGTACAGGACAGCAACATCGAAATCGGGAAACATCGCGCGCAGCGCCGCAGCCTGCGGGCTGACCTGTTCCTCTTGCGCGTGCGCGTCCGCACCTGCATGCGCCGGCACCTCCGCTGCAGGCGTAGTCGTCATCGTATAGTCCGCGGGGGCAGGAGCAGCTTCTTCAGGTCGCGGGGGCAGCACGGGCGTCGGCTCGGAGCCGTCGGTGTCCAGGAAGGGGTTCGTGCTCGCGCCCGCAGCAGCAGCTTCGTCAGGAACTCGCGCACTCGCAGGGCTCGTGCCCGCCGGCAGATTATCATTAGGCTGTGGTCCGGAATCTGTTGCGCTCGTAGTGCCTGCACCGGGCGAGGGTGCGTCCAATGGCGCGGCGCCGGCACCCGGGTGATCTGCGGCACTCGCTGCAGCCGGAGTGGAGGTCGCGGGATGGGCGCTGTCCGCTGCTGGTTCTTCGGAGATTATAGACATGGTTCACAGTGAAGAGGCTGGTCGTCGAAGTCGTGGTGCGAAGCAGGTAAGAGGAGAGGGTGGGATGGAGACCGTTGCGCAGTCAGCGGTATGTAAAGACCCCATCTCAGCGGTGGCGGTCCGTTGGAGCGCAGCGTCGGCGTTCCCCGCTGTCCTCCAAAGGGCAAGCTGTGCGCGTATGCGCTGCCGTAAACGCATGCCGCAGCGGTCTCGGTACTGCGCCCCCCTCTAACAAAAAAATAGCGCTGCAGCACTTGCTGAAGATTTGCTAGGTATGACTTGGTCGCGCAGCATACACGCAGTCGGCTTAGCAGAAAGCCCAGGTATTAATCGCGAGTGTCTTTCTTGAAAAGCGTCCAGGAACGGTGACATTAGGCACGACTACGGTATGTACAGTCCGCTCAGTGAGAGTTGCTCGCCACGCCACCAGTCAGCGTACTCGGCAACTTCTGGTCACCGACCGCGGTAAGGAGAGCAATAGAACCACCAACAAGGAGCAAGAGGGTGATAGTGGTTCCGGCAAGGAGAACGAACGGCCTGCGAAGACATGTCAGTCGGTCCGAGCTGTGTCGGTGTATGTGCTAAGTGTAAATGGGACTCACCCGCTGACATCCTTGCGTTCACAAGCGCTCCCGGCCCAGTTCTCCTTCCGCCCCTTCGTATCCGTCGTGGCGCCGCACGCACACACGAAGCACGTCTTGCCGGCCTTGGTCGCCTGCACGCACTCGCCGTGTCCGCTGCACGAGCTAGTCACATTTGAGCACAGCTCCGCACTGTTGTGGCACGTAGAGATAGAGTCGATGGGCTCGGCGGGGCGCGGCAGGGGAGGCGGGAAGGGGGATTGTGGTGGCTGCCGCTTTTCGTGCGCGGTGGCCTTTGTCGGTACGGTGACGAGCGCGAGGTGGATGTCTGGCCTCTCAAGGATGTGCGCCAGGATTGTGGAGACACTCTGGATGGCGGTGCGGTATTGGTCGCTGTCCTTCCCGAAGGTTTCCCGGAGGTCCTCAAGACGGGAGAGGTCAAACGCGCCAAAACGGTCTGCAGGGAGCTCCTTGTTGTCCAAGAAGTCCATGAACGCTTCGAGCTCTCCGACTGCGTTCATGGCGCCTGAGGCGGGGACGGAGAACGCATCGAGCATCCGCTTGGGCTTGTCGAACGCGTGCTCTTGTGCCTCGTAGACATACGAGTAAACGTGATGTGCGCGGTCAATGTATGTTGGGATGAGGGAAGAGACGGACTCCGGCGAAGGATGAGAGTTGAGGTGGAAAGTAGGCTTCAGAGACGCGGGAATCACATCTGCTCCTGGGTCAGTACACAAGAGAGCGCAGGTATTGCAATGACAGCGCACCTTTTGCGTGTTCCTTGCTCACGGTTAGGAGAAGACCTGTGGTAGATCCCCCTCCAACCAGCAACTCCTGTTCTCCGGGGTATGCGGTCGCGTCCTCAAAGCGTTCGAGGTTCAAGTGTGTAGAGAGAACAACGCCAGCTTGCTTCAACGAGAGATGGGAGTGAACATTCGGTTCAGGATGGAGGTAGACATTGACGGCCTGGCAGAGGCCGGTGAGCAACAGAGAGACGAGGAGTCCCTTCATGATGTGAGGTTGCTGGGCGTTGCACATCGTAGACGCTCGTATACAGCACGTCGTAATAGTTTGTCTTTGTTTGCCTCTGTGGCATATCCCGCCATGGCATGAGCGCGGGCTTCCCAGAACCACACTTCATACTCGGAGCTCTTTGGAAACGCTACGACTGGATTCATGTAAGATCGTACGGTTTGAATTAAGTGACGATGATATCAGAGCGATTAATTTGCGCTCAGCAGACTGGTACGATAGAGCCAAAAGCAAGTATGGACTGAAGAGGTCCGACGATGATAGAATACAGGGTATATTACACTAGAGGCATGGTACAAGCAGCAATACGAGCGATAACGAGTACAATGACGTCCATACGGTATACAGCGGATTCGGAGGCGATTAAGCCTCCGACCGCGAGGGAGTGTTCAGTCGTGGCGGCCTAGGCGACCGGTGCTCTTCTTAATAGTCTTGGCTTCAGCCTGCTTAGCTTTAGCACGGCGAGCTCTGGAGAATGAGTTAGATTAGAAGGAGGAGTTGAGAAGAATATGCGAGGAATACGTACTCTTGGAGAGCGTCCTGCTCGAGCTGCTTGACTTCCTCCCTGGCACTGCGCACAGCAGCTCTGGCATGGCTGAGGGCCTTGTCGGCAGCGGACTCAGCAGCTTCAGCCTCTGTCACTTTGCGACGGGCGGACTTGATGCTGGGATCCTTGCTCAGATCTACGGAACGGTCCGAGTCGGACGACGAGGAGCGGCGACGACCGAAAAGGCCGCCCGAACGAGTCGACGACCTGGTCGGAGCATTGCCGTTTCCGTTGGTGTGTCCATTGCTGTAGCCGTCAGGCGAGTCTGAATGGCGTCCGAAGAAACCGCGGCTGCGGCTAGGAGACTCCGGCGGCGGAGGGGGTGGCGAAGACGACCCGAAGAGAGGCATGGCTGAGGAGTGTTTCAGCATAGATACACAGGGCTGAACACGGTCACGCTTGACTTACCTGATGGTAGGTATAAGGTAGGGAGGAGGGGTTGGTATAGTTCGTTGACGAGGTTGGTGGGGATCCAGTATGCCAACGGGCAGCGTATATAAGGCTTTCAGAGAGCTAACCTACGTCAGTGGGGCACGATATCAGAGGCTTGCGACTTCTAGTCAGGGTGTCCACATAACGCCTCCGTCCTGGCTGGCCAGGCTATCATGATAGCATTTGGTGGAGTCCTGCAACTGCGACACGGTAACGCGACAGCTGAAGGTAGCTAAGGCACCCTAAGCGCCCTGACGTCATAGGAGTGGGTGGTCCGTGCGCGGGAAAGGGATCGAACAGCGGAGTTTCAAACGGAGTGCCAACTCTTCCTTCAATCGCAACCTTCTATAAATGCTTCCTCCTTGCTTCCCCCACTCACCCCCCGTGGCCCCGCATCGAGCTCGTTGTTGACGACGGTCCCGAGCGCGCCGTAGCGATGTCCAATAAGATTGTGGTGAGCTGCTCACCCAAGACATGTCCCTCATAGCTCCGTTAATGACGGTGGATTCCTCGATGAGCCCTCTATATATCGCGCCGTCATCGACGACGTGATCTCGAACATAAAGTCGGAATTCGACGAATACGGTGTCTCGGAGGACGTGTTGGCCGAGTTGCAGAGCGTATGTATGCCACTCGCATGTTTATCGCACTCATTCACCAGGACCTTTGTGGCTTAGAAATGGGAGGCCAAAGTCATCGCCTCTCACGTCGCAGACTTCGAGCCCGCGCCGGCACCGCAGCCGCCAGCACCTCCTGCCCACTCCGCATACCCGCCCCATCCTATACACATGCAACATGGGCACTACCCCCCGCACACGGCGTATGCCCAACCTCACCACACGCATGTGAAGACGGAACCAGTCGATACTCGTTACATGTTGAGTAACCCGGTGCAGTACGGGCTGCCTCCTCTCGCTGGGCCGCAAATCCCCACCAGACCACCCTTGCCGGGGGGTCAGCCTATGTCGTACACGCACATGAATGGTCGGCCGCCGAGTGCAGCGGGACAGGCTCCTCCCCCACCTACCGCCCGCTACGCTCCGCCCGCCAATCCTGCACAGCCCGCTCCTGCAGCCAGGATACCGCAGGTGGACGGCCCATCATCATCGGAATCCGAGTCCCCGTCTCCTCCTCCCAGTCAGAGCTACGCACCTCGAACGTCGCATCCATCGCTGCCGCAGCCATCGCAAACTTCCGCCGCAGAGAAGGCGGAGGATTCTGAGGCTATCAATAGCGACCTGGATGACTCCGACTCGGACGTCGAGCAAGACGGCATTGAGGGAGGATCAGCGGACCAGGACATAGTGTTCTGTACGTACGACAAGGTCAGTTGCTGTTGCCTCGGACCTCGACCTTGCGCTGATGGCTTTAACGCATCCAGGTTGCTCGTGTAAAGAACAAGTGGAAGTGTGTCCTCAAGGACGGCATGATCCACATCAACGGCAAAGACTACCTCTTTGCCAAGTGCAGTGGGTGCGTGTGCATCGTCGTCGTCGCGCTTTCTTCTTGCTGACCTTTTGTGCAGTGAGTTCGAGTGGTAAACGTCCTTGTCGTCGTCGTGTGTCTGTCTCCGGATTTACTGTATCTTTGTCCAATGTCGTTTGGGTCTGCACATATCACTATATCGCATCGAGCACGCATATTGTTAGAATCATCGCATGTAATATATCTACTATCGGACACCAAGAGTACTTGCAATTGGACTTGATGTTCATGCATCTTGCTGAGGGCGAGCCGTATGCTTCAGGATGCCTTTGCATTGAGTAGCTCTTCGGGATGTCAGCCGACGCTACAGTGGAGCGGAGAGAACTACCGGAGAGATTCGCTGGTCAGAGTAAACAGAATGCGATGTCTAGGAACGCGGTGCATCATATAGGAGGCGGTTGGGTGAGGAGCTTGACCAAATGGAGCAAAACAAGACTCGCCACCAGCGGTCATCGAAAGTGGGATCAACACCGCGGTACACGTGCGTCCTCTTCACCGCTCCTTTACCGAGAGCCCCTACCCTGGCTACCCACGCCGTAGAGAGTTCGACAGATGGAGACAGCGGGCGGAAGGCTTCTTCCGCTTCTTCTGCCCGCAGGCTATCCCGGGCTACGAAGGTGTGTGCACGTTCCCTGCATGCATGCCGCCTAATCAGCGGCTGCATCTCGATATGCGGCGCCGCGCAGGGGTAGCGGTCAGGCATTCGGCCTCCCCGGGGAAGACTCCGAGCACGCTGCACAGTGACTCGCCGAGGGCTGCGTAGACAGCGATTTAGTGTGCCGTACATGTCCTTACTCACCAAGTGCACACAGGCAGTCCAGCTGGCGGACCCGTGTGATCATCCAGATGAAATTACGGACAGGCGGGGTGCTGGTCGGGCGCTGCATGGGAAGATTGTCAGCGGCGGGATGCTAGGGAACGCATTATTGTGCTCCGATCCGCAGTGCCGACGGCCGTCTCACCAGGATGGCTGAGACACACCTTGTAGGTATTCGCTCTTCACCCCAGGAGAAAGAGCGGGTGTGGTTGGCTCTTCCGAGACGTCAAAAAGGCAGTACTTCACAGAGCTCGTGAGCTCGACGAAGGATGGCGGGGCAGTGTAGGTTGCCGGGCGGTGGCCGAGAGCGCCGCCGGACGCGCTCAGAGCACAGGTTCCTGGGCGAAGGCGTGTTTGATGACCTCGCTTGTCTCAGGCTCGCGATGGACAGGGTCGGCGTCTCAGCGCCCTCACAGCTCTCCGCAACGCGCTATATAACCAACGCGTCGCAGCGCAGGGCCAGCCTTGCCTGCACCCCTCTCTTCTTCTTCCTCATGTTCTCCCGCTCCGGCGCCCTCCGCGCGCTCTCGGTGGCCGCCTTGTTCTCTTCTGTTCTTTCTCTGCCCCACCTGCCTGTTCGCCCTGCCAAGCGCTCCCTGCAGGACTACGTAGACCACCTCGTCTACCTTGACGCGAGCAAGTCCGCTCTTTACTCGGCGATTGAGATTGGCGGCCAGACGTATGGCGCAAACTTGGACAACCAATGGTGAGTGTCGCGTGTCTGGGCCTGCCATATGCAGCGTGTCTAACGGCTTGTACAGGGGAGGTCTGGTCGTAAAGAACGGCAGTTCACAAGGCACCACGACGCAGATCACGGTCGAGGGTGTTGCCGTAACTGGTAAGCGCCCAGGCGTCGCAACGCGCATCGCATGGAAATATTGAGATCTTTTCCTAGTCACGGAAGGCAATGGCACGGTCGGCTTCCTGCAAGAGGACATCGAGATTGACTTCTGTGAGTAGCACAATTCACGACGCGCGTTGGATCATGTTTTGGTTTCAAACCGGACTCTCGCCCAAGGGCCGCTTCGGACTAGTAGAGTCACAGACAGCGCGCATCGTGGTTATTGGTAGCGTATCCTGTTCTAACCGTGTGCTACAGACTCGACGTCACAATGGCCAAGCTCCTGGCCGTCCATTGGCAGCTCAGCAGGTGTCGGTGCCGGCAAAGTCGGTATCGACATCACCGACTCAAACAGCGTCATGAACCAGTACCTCGCCGCGAAGTGGTCAAACATCCTCGACAACTGGTACTACGACCTCCTCATCTTCTACGATTGGCAAACCGCCTCCTCCACGACCGTCGACCTCGAGTTCGCGGGTATCATCACGACCGGCTCCACGCTCGACTGGACGTCCGTGTTCGACATCTCCGCGAGCGACGCGACCAAGTACGGCCTCCCCGACCTGAGCAGCATCAAGGACCAGCCGTACATCTACCTGCGCAACGACGGCACCTTCTACGTCGACAACGGCTTCTGGGCGAACGGCAATCTGTACAGCATCGGGAGCGGCGTGGCGCAGACACCCGCGAGCAGCGTCGTCGTCGAGGTGTCCCTCACGGAGCGCTTCTCGACGTTCCCCGACTCCGTCGTGAAGGGCCTCTACGGCGGCCTCTCGGGCGCGAAGTACTACGGGCACTCGAACTACGGGTACTACCAGGTTCCGTGTGACGCGGAGATCGAGTTCTATTTCACCATTGGGGGTACCAAATACAACGTCACCCAGGACGCGCTCGTTGCACCGAATCCGTGGGGCGACCAGTGCGTGGGCACGCTCTTCACCAACGGCCACAGCTCCTGGTCGACCTCGTTCGACGTTGTCTTCGGCTTCCAGTTCCGTGCGTACCTCATTTTGTCGCATCGTGCTCCCTCACAGCAATCCTGATATGACCCCCCTTTGCACAGTGTCTGCGTTCTACTACCGCTCGGGTATCAACCACAGCTCGAACAACCAGCCGTACGTGAAGATGCTGCCCCTTCCCGGCTCCGACAGCTGGGCGTCCAGCAGCGGCGCGTGGTCGTGGTCCGGCTCTGGCTCGCTGTCTAGCGGCTCCTGGGCGCCCGTGAGCACCCAGTACAACAACAACCAGGCCGCGGCGACCTCAACGGCATATGCCTCCGCGGCGACCACCTACACGAACGCGCAGTACACGCCCAGCACCAGCACGATCTTCACCACCACGACGCACACCGTCATCGGCACCGTCACGCTGCCGTGGCCCACGAGCAGCGCCGTGTCCAGCGCGTCTGGCAGCTACTCCGGGTCGGGCTCTGGCTCGAACTCGAGCTCGAGCTCCGGCTACTCGGGCTCCGGGTACAACAGCGAGAGCGAAAACCTGGCCGTCGCCGGCAACGTCGAGACGGAGACGGACGCGGACGGCAACGACCTCAACCTCCCGCACGGAAGCCTCTCCGACAAGCTCAAGCACTGCTTGCCCGCGATCATCGTCATGGCGGTGGTGCTCGGTCTTGGTCTCGTCATCGGCCTCATCGTGTGCCTCGTTCGCCGCCGTCGTGGCCCCGGTGCCGCGCGCGGGCCCTCTGCGTACAGCAACATCCACGACTCGGACGTGCACGGACCCGTGCACGTCCCGCTCTACGGCGCCGAGGAGGGCACGTCGCGCTACTCTGACCCCTACAAGGACAAGGAGTAAACGTCTCTCCGCTTCTAGGGTTTCGCGTTCGACGCTTCGGGTCTGGCAGGGCACCGTGCGTTTTCTTCTCTTGAGTTTCATTTCATTTCAGTGTGTTACGACGGCCGGACTTTGCTTTCTCTCGCTATATATCTCTAGTACATACATCTACATCGCGCGCACACGCATACGGGCTCTGCAGGCCGAGGTAGCGCTTCCACGGCACCGGCGGACCTTGGCTCTTTGTCCCTCACTAGTTACTACAGTATCTCTATATTCATATGGGCATGTGCACAAGGCAACCGAGCCTCTGGCTCTCGGGCGGGTGTTCTCTGACGTGAAACATTTGTGAGTACCCTCGATTATCTTCTGCCTCCGAGAGTGAGGCTGGTTTACGAGCCTACCCTCGGGGCCAATCTGGCATGTCGCGGTCGCGGGCGCCTAGAGGTGTGCGCGTCTGTCGTGACGTCATTGTTCACTCATGATCACACTAATACTAATAGCACTGTACTGAATTCCTTGCTGCAATGTTAATGAACCTCTCTACTCATGCTCACCCGTAACTTGACGTCGCCTTTGCTCCCGAGCTGATTCGCCGACGGGCGCGACCTCTCAGCGTATGCCAGGTTTGGATCCTCGAGGTCAGAGTCGCTCCAGAAATGACTCTGAATGACTGGCTCTCGCCAGCTAGACTTTCATCCCATTCCGGCAGGATGTCCATCGCGTCTCCGCCGTTACCAGCAATCTCTCCCGTCCTCCACCACCCCACGCACTACTAGTCTTCCATGACTAAAGCAGCTGTCGATGCACCTGTGCTTCAGGACGTGGAGAAAAATGGTGTCTCCAGCCGCGCGAGTTCGTTCGCCCAGCAAGACTGGCACCACTCGTACAAATGGTCGAGGAAACTATTGCAGTGGGGACTAGAGGCCAGAGGTACGCCCGCACTTGGTCGGACCGACTGCAGTGTATTAGCTGCTCACTCTTGTCCATAGGTATCACCCCCGTGCCCCTCGAAGAAAGAGTGGACACACAGCACAATAAGATATTCTTCATCTGGCTATCGGCCAATTTCAACATTCTCTCGTACGTACGCTTGGCTGGAACCTGCCACGTATAGGGTTCCTTCAGTTTCCTATCACCCAGTTTCTCTGCAGGCACGCTGGGTCCAGTCGTGTTTGGTTTGGGCCTTAGAGAGTCTTGCTTGGTCATTCTCTTCTTCAACCTGCTATGCAGTGCACTCCCGGCATATCTGTGAGCACATGGCCACACTCACCTATGCGACTTGGTGACGAAAGGGACCGCCGTAGTTCTACCTGGGGACCAAAACTCGGTCTACGCCAAATGTGCCAGGCCCGATACAGCTTTGGGTACGTTGGCCGCTCATACGCTCTCTTTGGAATCACGAGCTCACGCCGCATATATCATCCAGTTACTACGGTGTAATCATACCAAGTTTCTTCAACCTGTGTTCAATGTTGGGCTTCTGTATCCTGAACTGCATCCTCGGGGGACAAACATTGGCGAGCATATCCAACGGCCATCTAAGCTGGAGGTACGCAACCGCACTACTTGCAAATAGCGCAATCTGACACCGCATATAGCGTCGGCATCGTGGTGATCGCACTTATATCGTTATTCGTCTCGTTTTGCGGTTACAGTGTTGACTTGGTAGGCACCCTTTGCAGCTCAGAGTGGAATGTGCTGCTCAATTCTGACAACAGGTATGAACGCCTTGCCTGGCTCCCGGTTCTCGTCGTTTACCTCGTCGCCCTGGGAGTCGAAGGCAAATACCTCCGAAACCCACCACCGTCGGAGCCGGCAACTGCAGCAGCAGTTTTGTCGTTTGCATCCACGATTGCGGGCTTTGTGGTCACGTTCAGCACTCTGGCCTCGGACTTCACGATCTACCTGAACCCGTCTGTGCCCAGGTATGCGTGACTACGGCCGGCCTTCACGCTACGGTGCTTACAAACGTGTCAGCTGGAGGATATTCCTCTACTCGTACATGGGCTTCAACATCCCCATCGTGAGCCCTCCCCGTCCTGCTACACCTCCGTCGCCTGACCGGTCCCGCCCAGATCCTCATTCAGTGCCTCGGCGCAGCAGTTGCCGTCTCAGTCCCTTTCGTACCCGAATGGGAGGCGGGCTACGCGAACGGGAACGTAGGCGGGCTCATCGCAGCCATGCTCCGGCCCACGGGCAACTTCGGGAAGTTCCTCACCGTGCTCATGGCCCTGAGCGTGACCGCGAACATCGCGCCCACGCTCTACTCCTTCTCCCTCAGCTTCCACGTGTTCGTGCCCCCGCTCGCCGTCGTCCCCCGCTACATGTTCTCCCTCCTCGCAACCGCGGTGTACGTCCTGTCCACCTCCCACACACACTGACATCAACCTAACGCACCGTGCCGCAGCCTGATCCCGGTCTCGGTCGCCGGCGCACACAAGTTCTACGACACGCTCACCAACTTCCTCGGGCTCATCTCGTACTGGGCCAGCGCGTTCGGTGCGATCGTGCTCGTCGAGCACCTCCTGTTCCGCCGTGGCGCCTTCGCCGCCTACGATCTGCGCGACTGGCGGGATGCGCGCCGGCTCCCGCCGGGGCTTGCGGCGCTCGGTGCGTGCGCGCTCGCGTGCGCGTTCATCGTGCCGTCGATCGACCAGGTCTGGTTCGTCGGGCCGTTTGCAAAGCGCGCGGGCGATATCGGGTTCGAAGTCGCGTTCGCCGCAGCGGGCGTGTTTTATGTGCCCCTGCGGTACGTGGAGCTGAGGTTCAGGCCGATGGTGTACTGCGGAGGGTGGGAGCGAGGGGCTGAGGGAACGCGGGATGCGACACCTGGCCTTAGGGTGTGCACATGCGTTAAAATTGGCAGCCAGAACGAAGCAATAGCAACGAGTCTGCGCGGCACATCTATTGGAAGAGCTGCCCCTGTGCATATGGGCCTGTTTGTACGGCCCTCTGTGGCAGTACGGTGATACCGCTGAACAATTTGGACCATCATAGTAGCCTACGGGCCAGAGGATACGTCAAGCACCGCGCCACCACGAACGTTGGCATGTCACGATCACAGACGTCCCAGGGCCGCGACCACGGGCACCTTGAAGCTTGAACGTTAAGGTGCAGTGCCTAACGCATAGAATGCATGAAGCGAGCAACGTCTAGAGCTAATATTTACCTAGTATAAAAACCCAAAACCATGCGCGTCTAAGGACGCTACTGCCCTCCTTGCACCCCGCCTCACAACCCCACTCACAACTCCACATAGTCAACATGACTGCCCCTATAACCGTCCATGCCATAGAGAGAGGGAGAGCCCCCTCCAACCTTCCTAGAAGCATAAGGATTCTGGAGACGGCGCACTTTGACGTCGTCATCACCCCGACCGTCCCGCTCCACATCGGACAGCACATCCAGATCAACTCCTTGGACGAGGCTCCCAACCCTGCAGGAAGACGGGGCGGGACGAGAAGCCAGCCCTGGTACACGTCCACCCCCGCCGACATCGCGGGGCGGATCGTGGGCATCAGGACGATGGAGCTCGCCGTCACGGAGTTCATCGTGTTCAACGAGGAGAACTGCTCGCTGGTCGAACATGCGTACCTCTCTATCCAACACATCCAGGGAGTGACGGTCATGCTGGACCCCTGGCGCCGTATGGCGCGCACCGTCCTCCTCCCATTCCTCCCACACACACGTCACGTCCCGATCGAGAAGAACGCTGTGGTGATCATGGAGGACTGAAAAAAATGCACGCATGCCGCGGTCGCGCTTGCGTCGTGGGATCGGTGGCGGTATATGATAACGGACTCGGCATGTTACATGCTGCGAACCCTCGCTCGGACTGGAACTCCTCGCGCTTCTCTCCTCTTGGCTTCCACTCGTCCTCAGCCTCCCGCTCCAAATGTCCCGTATCAGGCCCACATCCCAATTCTCCTCCCTACGGACCTTGTAACCAACAACGAGCAGCACATGTCAAAGCCAGTAGGCCGTTGGAGTCATCCACGTGATCTCCCGCTGTGGTTCGGAGGCGAAAATCGAACGAAAACTGGAGACGCGCACATCCTACATTGCAGATAAAATGACTTCGTACGGGACCGATCATTCGGGATCGACGCGCCCTGCGGGTGAACCGATGACAGGCTGCCGGAATTTTTATATGTGCGTACGTGTTTGTAGCTTGCAACGAATCACGACGAGGCCCCGACCGCGAGGAGCACGGTTGCAGGGCCGCGCGCTCCAGTACTAGACGCGAGCTACGCGTACGCGTAGTATAACAACTGGTGACGAGACTAGGCAAAGTCGTGGTCCGCTAGCCTGGCGCTCGAAGCCATGTTCCCGCGAGAGGCTGCATATGTCTGTGTGACGAGCTGTCAGATATGCTCCGCTCCTATGACAGCTGTCATCCAGATCCCAGCGTGGATGAGGAGGTGTGACGCCACTGATGGGGAAACGCCGCGTTGCCCGCGCAGGCGTGGGCTATCTGCATCTAGAAGGCATAGTTGGGGTATTAGACAATATTTGCAACGCATAAAGAACTGAACCAGGTCCGGCCCGCAGAAGTACTGAGTGGGGCTTGCTCCAGCGCAGACGCGCCCGCCTGCGCGAACTGAGCTCGCTGACCAATTGAACCGCGTTTGCAGTTCTGAACTGCGTGCAAATATCGTCTATTGCGGAGACAGGCGTACGCATGGGGGTACCTCCTGTTATGTGATTTTAGGGTTCGTACTGACGCCTTACTCTATAGGAGCGCTAACAACGATCCTAGGAGCATAAACTCTAACACAAAAAACACCAGTATGAGCCTGCACGCCACCACTTATATGAGGCTTTGCCTCAGTTATCGAACTTCTTGGCACCGATTTCGATGCTGGCGAGCAAATACATATGTGAGCGCCACGAGGCGCTCTGCGACTTAGAGTTCCGAGTACACGTGGCTAGCGAGTCGGACAGCAGCACAGCCCCAGACACCACACGCGAACTCCGAGGAGAACTGGAGTCTGGAGAAAAGCAGCCATGACTATGGTTCAACGTAACTTTCAGGCTGGAGGCCTTCGGGGCTTCGCCATCTTCCGCTACACCAACTGTCAGTCTAGGTCTTCTGAACTTTACTACCCAGCATCGCATTCGCACTCACAACGGTCCCGGAGTATTGCGCATCGGGCGTCCCCGGCCACCATATTCGCTCGAAAGCTTCATGCAGCAGCCTGAAGATCGCGGAGTGCATTATCGCTGCGCAGTCGCATCGAGGCGCCCCCAAGGCGGTGAGCCTCCATTCATATTCGGATCTGACAGGCCTCTCGCATCCAGCGCTGGGCTCTTTCAAGCGTCAGCAGCATCAAATCCCCGGGCCCCCTAGGCTCTACAGGGCTCGCGCTGGCGCACACAGCACCGCGCCGATATCGACACGCTTTGTCGCACCACGACGCTGGAAGATCAGCGCTCCAACGGGCGGCGGATTGGTGCGAGGGCCGCCGACTCCGGGGGGCGAGGCGCCGCGGGTGGGCGCGCATGAGTGGCACGAATAAGTGGATACGTGGGATCAGCTACAAGTGCGGAAGTGAGCCGCCGGTCCTTGGGGAGGGGGCGGAGGCTTCTGCACTTCTCCGCCGCCAACGCTGCCGGTGTGATGCTGGGTGCCCGGGGACGCTCAGGAGGTCTTCTCTTCGTGGCGCCTAGAGGGATTGGGACGACGTACAGGGGACCGGGAGCTATCACTCCGACTCGGGCGCACACTCGCTCGACAGTTCGCTCATGAGGTCTTCGTTACAGCTGTTTATCCCGTGCGGGGTCGCTACACGCAAGCCTCAGGTGAGGGGACCTCCGCGGAGGACCGGAGAGTGGTGCTATGCGACGGGATGGCGAGGGCTCCCGCGGCGCCAGTCAGAAAGACGCGTTCAGCCTGTCTGGACGCAACACATCGCACAGCTTTCGCAACGAGATCAGGCCGTGCCTCCCATCAGCGCACGCGCCTGCACCCAATCATCGGTCCGCTTCGAATCGTGCTCGAGAAAGAGCGCCAGCCGGTTCCCACCCCTCCTCTCCGTCCCACAATCGCTGCTACTAAAAGCTCCCCCCGCACCGCCGATCTACGCTCATCCTCGTCTCCAGACTGTGCTCTGGCCTTCTCAGCCGTGGGAGATAGACCTGCCTGCTGTACAGCATCGCCGCCTGCGTAGCCCGATCTCTCTAGTGCAGCAACCAACTACAAGATGCAGCTGCCTACCGCCACCGGTATCCGCATCCGCTCCATGGCCGATGCGCACGTTATCTTCCACGCTGTCTCGCTCGGGGTGCTCCCCATCGTCTCCCGACGGCTCGACATAGACGAACGGCGATACATCCATTCCGGATGCGTGTGCGTCTGGGAAGAGCGCAGTGCCTGTGGCGAGGGTTCTTCGGTACGTCGTGCGCACGCTACCCCTCTTGCACGGCGCGTTCCATGCGCCCCACCCCAGGTTCCCGCTCAACCTTCGTTTCCTGCAGGCAACCGGCATCGAGCGGTGGACGGACGGGAGGCGCTGGGGGCCTTCCAGAGTGCGCGACGTGAGTGCTTTCGTGCTTTCCCCGCACGCCACCATTGGCCGTTCTCACCGAACCGCGTGGATGGCAGGAGTTCCTCTACTACCAGGAAAAGCTACCCGAATTCGAGGCTGATGAGGAGCTCGCGGCTCTCATGTACGTACACCTGCCCCCTACCCCGCATTCTCGCTCCTAATGAGAGGCTTGGCGACAGCTACGAGAGCCGTCTGATCAAGCAGACGTACTCTGTGTTCGTCGATACCCCGACGGGCCGGCGGAAGTGGCATCTAGGTTCGTCCGCCCCGCGCGCGCCTCCTTCTATCTGTGTTGGGCGCCCTACTGACGTGCGGTCGCAACCCCTGTGCGTTCCTGATGCCCGCCACCTCCATCCGCACACCCCTGCCTGCGCCCCGCGCCCGTGGATGCAGTGGCCTACTTTACCGGCGAGACGCACGAGCGGCTCCTCACCGTCGACGACGTCCCCGAGCTCGCCGCCGTCCGCCCGCTCGTGCCCCCGGGCAAGTACACCACCGCGCGGCTCGCCCGGCAGCGCACGCGCCACGAGTCCGCAGCCCCCTCCCTCAACCTCAACTTCGGCGTACAGGAGCCTAGGGAGCCCAGAGCGGCGGCAGCGGCAGCACTGCCGTCTCTACTCGACCGCCAGCCCCTGTACACAATCTCGCAGCAGGGCAACCTGGTCGCCCCGCACCCGCCATCGGACATCCGCCTCCCCGTGCTGAAGCCGACGCCCTGGGGCAAGCCGAGCTGGTTCGAGGGCGAGTTCGCGGCGCGCCAGCCGGAGCTGCACCGGGCCCTCAACAAGCACCTGCGGCGGAATCCACACATCAACCTCGCGCCGCTCATCTACATGCGCAAGACGCCATACCCGCCGCGGGACGTCGCGGACGACGACATCCTGCAAAAGTTTGACTGCGAGATCCTCTGAGCGCGCACCTCTGGGCTCAGTCGACTGGCGCGGCACAGTGGTTTCCGGCACCGGCGGTCCTGCGAGATGCGCCTGCCCCTGTTGCATTGGCTGCACGGGTACGGCGCAGCGAGGAGGGCACTGCTGTCCGACGGTGATCGTGTTCGTCATGTAGGGTAGGACTCGGAGGGGGCGAAGGAGGGGCGAGCCTGGAGCGTGTCCCCCTCCGCCGACGTGATCATCTTCCGTGCTGTTCTGTTCACTAGCTAACGCGTGTTGTCAGATATATACCCACATCACTGTGCGCTCGCGTGCGCCCAGGCCTGTGCTGTATTTGTACGCCCTAATGACCACATCCCGATTCAAACATTTTCTCCCCCAGATCCAGGTTACGTATGCCGGGAGCGATAATATTAGTGGGTGGGCAGCCGCGCGCCCCGGTGGCTGGAGACGCGGGTGTGATCACAGCAAGTGTAAGTACAGATAGGGCTAGCTGATGTTGCTTCACAGGCGAGAGCGGGTCTGCCCGTGCACGCAGCGGCGCCATTTTCGCTGTCTCACAACACTTCCCGGTTTCTGCAATAGCAGGTACGGCGACACGGCGGGCGCAACGCACGGCCGGGGCCCAGGCCTGCGCGCATCGGGGTTCTCGCGAAGTTCCTCCCCTCCGCCTCACGTCATCCGTGTCCGCGCCCGACCGCTGGGGACCCGGCTTCGCGTCTTCCCCGCCTTCTTTTCGCCCGCGCGGGCGGACAGCGCGCACCCGTCACGATCCACGATCCGCCCTTCACCTCCTCGCCCTGTCGCCCATCGTCTCTGCGCGTCCGCGTTCGCGCATCGGCTTCCGTGCGAGCGTTATCAGCATAGACTCGAGATCCAAGCAGATGGACGACGAGGGGCGCTTCGGTCCAGAGCTCGTCCTCCCCCCAATCCCAATCCGCCGTGCCCACGCCGCCCTGCGTCCTACGTCCGCCCCCAGCGCAGAGTCCGCCCGTTCGCGTCCGCTGGCCTCTCGTGACGGCCGCGCGGCAGCTAAGCCGCTCCCAGAAATGTCAAACGCCGCTGTCCAGCTGCGTGCCCGAGCAGGCGGCGCTTCTCCCGCAACCGCGCCCCCAAGAAACGCCGGACGCCCGACGTGCGATCGCGCCGCCGTCGCGAACAGGCCCAATGTCGCTGCGCGCGCATGACGACGTCGAGACCCGCACGGGCAGCAGTAGTGCACAGCACATTGCAGACGATCGCGATGTGATGGCGATGGCCCCGCACGACACGCCCAGCAGGTCCCGGCCGCAACGGGCAGCGGGGATCCTGCGTAGAGTTCTCAAGTCGCCGAGCGCGTGCTTCTGGTGGCGTCAGCGGACGGGGCGGGCGGGCGGCAGGAGCCAATGGCAGGGCCAACGCGCTGGGGCTGGGGAGGGGCAGCCCTGCACGCACGCGCGGGGGGCTCTGGCCCGCGGGCGCAGATCGCGCGGGGTGCGCACTGGGCGAAGAAGCTTCAGAGAATCAGCCTCAGCGCGCGCACGCGCACGGTGCGCTCCCAGGCGTGCCCGCGCCCATTGAGTACGCGCGGGGGCAGTGGCGGCAGCTGACTGGGCTTATTTCGTCGGCCTCCCACGTCAGGCCCACCCGCATGACTTGCGGCGCTGGTTTGGGTTGGCGGACGCGGCACAGTGCGCCGGGACAGGATCGACGGATTGGGGTGCGATCGCAGCGATAATAGTGGCTGCTCGAGCTTGTTTCGGCGGCGGGCATGGGTGGGAGAGCGCAGGGTACACATGTCGGGGTGGTTGGGACAGGCCAACTGGTCGGGAGCGATGGAGAGGTTATGATCAAAGAGCTGCTGGATGCCGGGGTGGCAGACATGCGGGCGCTGCTTCTGTGACGATGGCGTAGCGTTCGGGCTGACGTGCGAGGTGGTGATGGGCTGAGAGGCTATTGAGTCTGGCGACGTGGGACTGCGGCGAAGGACAGGAAAGCTTAGCACGGTGTGGCCAAAGGGCGAAATGAAATGGGCCGCGGACACAATTGCTCACGCTAGGAATGGCTCAGGGTCGCGGCTGGCCGACGGGCCTGGATCGCTCGCGGTGGACGCGCGCGGTGGAGCGGGGTCATCGTGATCGAGCCCGGAGCAAGGCACAGCGCGTCGGTCCCCCGATGCGCGATAACTGGTGTGAGTTATGCCCTAAATAAGGCATGCCGACCACACTTGCCACGCGCCGCGATCGGCCAGATCTGCCTCCGTTGTGGACGAGCGCGCGCTCTTTGCCGCCTCGTTGTTCTCTGACGCAGCGCACAGTGCGCAGCTGGGAACCGTCCACCGCCGTCCGCACGCCACAGGCAGCACTAGTGCCCTCGTTAGCGTTCAGACACCCGTTTCCATCGATGTCCCTCTCGTCGGCCTCCCGCCGGCGGACGTTGTGTACCACCCTCCGATGTACTCGGACACGCATGTGCACGCCGAGCTCAGGTCCACAATACGACGCATGCGCATGCACATCGCACATCGCGCAGTGCAATACACCCCCGGCAAGCGTTGCCATCATTCCCCGCCGCTGCCGGCACACCCACTCGGGTCGCTCGTCCACCAGCCGCCAGGCTAAGTTGGACGCTGAATGGCCCACCTCATGGCTCACGTCGCCCAGAGAGTTCCACGGAGTCAGACGACACGCCCTCCGAGCGGCCGAGTGCGGCGCCATGCTTGGCCCTTCGCCAATTCACTGATTCTGGGGTGCTGAGCCCCGCCGAACCAGCGCGAACCCGCCGTAACCGACATCAAGCTTGCGAACAGGAAGCGCCGCGCATAGCGTTGGTGGCGTTCCCGACCGTGTTCGACTTCGATCCCCCAGTCTTACTACTGGCTGTCGCGGGCCCCGGACTGGGCGGGCGGGTGTGCGTGCAGCTGCGTGTTCCGAGCACGCGCGGGCCAGCCCGAGCGCAGGATCCGGGTTCCAAGTCCGCCGCGGCGAGCAGCGGCTTCTTGTCGCGGGCAGGTCATCAGCGTGGCGTCATCGGGCTGAGCTGGCAGCGAACAGAACGGGTTCTGGTCGCTCGGCTCTGCCGGACGCAGTTGGAACGCGTTTTTTTGTAAGCGTGCGGAGAAGGGGTGGCAGGCGTCGCCAGGCAAGTCAGCGCATGCCGTTGCCGAGGCCTTCCCGCGAAGGTTGTGATGGACGAAGGGAGGGTGCATGGGGAAGACGAAGATAGCACAGACGGTGAGAACGGGGACGCACGGGACCAGTCCGAGGGAAGGGAGGCCTGGAAAAGCCAGCGACGCGATGGAATATGCGAGCGGCGGAGGGTGTGGAGCGGAAGGGGACGTGTGCGCGAGAAGGACGGCCGAAAGGGCACATATTCAAGTGTGGGTGCCTGATCACGCCGGGAGGAATAGTGCGTCGGCTGCAGCGAAGGAGCTAGTGCGGTGCACTGAAGAGAGGAGGGGCCCACGAGGTGGGAGGAAGAGGAGGGTTGGCGAGACGTGCTCTGGCCCGCCTGCAGCGGGTGACGGATGGGCGCGGTGTGGCAGACGACGAGTGGCAGGTGGGCAGGAGGAGTGACAGAGCGCAGGGACGATCAATCTTCAGGCATAATAGAGTTGACTAGCAGCTTCCCGTGCCTTCGGCCCGGCGGGTTTCGCGTAGGGGTGCATGTTCAGTTACAGGGTGCCCCGCTCATCCAGAAATACCACAAAATACCATATGTACAAACCAACAGAATTGACTACTTCAACACCGGCAGGAAGAGAAGACCTCCCTAAGACAGAAAGTACATTCCGAGTCGGGATGGATTGGTCCTACTGATCATTTGTGACTTACCTGCATTGACATTGTGTGCTTTCCGTGCTTACCATCCCCGTGAGTTACCTACCTTGGCCTGAAGTTGACTATTACTTACCTCGCATACGGGGGGACTCCTTTCAGACCCCACACAGTGCACTGCCTTCAGTGTCCGCCATGTGGCTTCCCTGCCCGCGTGGGCCGCCCCCGCGCCCCGCAACGCGAGCACCGCGTACGCGCGCGCGTCGGAAAGTGGCAGACCGCGTTCAACTTCAAGTTCGTGCAGACGTTGGGGACGGCCGCTGACGGTGAGGTAGGGATCCGCAAATGGCTTCAGATTTATAGGCATACGTCGTGTCTAGAAAAATCGGTAGAGAATTATCGACGGAAAGCCATAGATAATTCTAGATTGTGCACGCAGTCAGCTTGGACAGTACGTCGAGGAAATTTCGAGATGCTGATGATCGTCGTAGCTGTCGCGCGGCGCGCGCGCTCGCTGCTTGAGCACGATTGGGCGCCTAAGGATATTTGCACTCGCTGAAACGGGTTGCTGCTGAACGACGTTTGGCATTTGCCGTACCATGCCCAGAATATCTTTCTCATAGGATAAATGAATGGAGTGAGTGAGTAGAGTGCATTAAACATTGAATACTTATTGTATGCGCATGCGGCATGAGCGACTACGGCAAACTCTCCGTCCAGTGTGGAGCTTGAATCCCGGCGTGTATGGTACTTATTGCTCCGATCCCAAGCGTTCAGCGTCAGAGAGAGAATAAAACATAGATACGTCTCCGCACACTCGCACGCGCGCGAGAGAGAGACTCAGAGAGAGAGAGGGGAAAGGAGAGCTGCCAGACTCGGATGTCCGATTGGACGCTTGGGTTCGATCACGGGCGCCTATGCAGCCCGAGACGCGCTCCGCCCATATTTTCCTCAACTCTGCTTAGACTTTCCTGTTTCTGCGACTGAACGTTCATATGAAGCGTATGGAACCGTATGTAAGCGAATTGAGCGGATACGTGTTGGAAAGGGACTGAAACTGTTGAACTTCTGTGTCTACGGCTGTGCCGGACCGGGAGTGGCAGTGATAGTGGCTGTGCGTCTACCATACGCCAGCATGGACTTTCCTACTTACCATATACGTACATTCTTTTGTTCTGTACTTACTTGGCATCCTGCCATCCCTCCACATGATTCTGGTACGTTCTAC